TGATCATCCTGATTAAGCTTAAGATATCTTTTTTGGAAATATCTTTGATTATATGTCCACGTTGACATTTGCTTTAACACCCCCCACCCCTTCGTGGACAAACGTGGACTTTTGATTCACCCCCCCAAATGTGTCCACGTGGTTTATGGACGGCCCCTAATCATTCTTCTTTATAATTACTACATTTTCTAATTTGTATTTATTTTAACTATAACTTTACCGAATTGTCACTACTCATAATTATTATTATTATTATATCGAAATAGTATTTTTCAAAATTTTTGTAATACCTAATAATTTTTTAAACAAATTTTTTATTGTATAATAACCAGTTTTTATAATTTTATTTTATTCGAATAATTATTTCGTATATTTTTTTTCTTACCGAAATTATATTTTAAATAATTTTTTTAAACGATTTTTTATTTTTCCTAATATTCATTTTTCCAAATAATTCTTTTTCATAATTTTTATATTTCATAATTCGTATTTTACATAACATACATTTTTTCTCAGATTTAAATTCTCTAATTTATTATTTTCCTAACCTATATAAGAATTGCACCGAATAGTTATTTCACCTACAAAATATACGGTTTCGACGTTTCCCATCTCTGAAGAATATGGCGCCAAATTTGAAAAAGTTTATTATTTTATTATATAGCATTTATTAATTATTACAAATATTGCGTTTAAAACAATTTCCCAAATGATATTTAGCCCAGTTAATTGGTTTAAACAATATTTGTAATAATTAATAATTTTAGGATTTTAGGAAATATAAAAATTATGAAAAAGAATTATTTGGAAAAATGAATATTAGGAAAAATAAGAAATCGATTAAAAAAAATTATTTAAAATATAATTTCAGTAAGAAAAAAATTATACGAAATAATTATTCGAGTAAAATAAAATTATAAAAACTGGTTATTATACAATAAAAAATTTGTTTAAAAAATTATTAGGTATTACAAAAATTTTGAAAAATACTATTTCGATATAATAATAATTATGAGTAGTGACAATTCGGTAAAGTTATAGTTAGAAGAAATACATGTTAGAAAATATAGTAATTATATAGAAGAATGATTAGGAGTAAAGAAAATTATGAGTAATGTTAATTTGAAAAAGTTAAAATTATTTTGAAAAAAGTTTATAAGAAAAAAGTTTATAAGAAAAAAGTTTTATAACAAATGATATTTCGATAAAATAAAATTTAGAGACTTTAGAACATTTACACATTATAGAAAAATATTATTAGGAACAATAAATTTTTTAAGAATTGGTAATTCGGTAATATTTGAATTATATTGAATAATAATTTGGGAATATAATTATTATAATTATTAACAAATCTATAAAATAATATTTATCAAAATTGACATTTCGAAAATAAAAATATTAGTGTAAATAAGAAATATAAAAAATAATAATTTTTAGAAATGATAATTCAGTTATTTGAAGATTATAAAAAATTTTCTTTCGCAGTATTAAACATTCTGTTAATTAGTCATTCAAAAAAATAATGTTTTTGACAACTATTCTTTTGATTAAAAGAAATTATAATTAATTCTTATTAGTTAAAAAGAATTTCGATAAAATAAAGATTCGGAAAATAAAAATTGGAGACTTTTCATGCGCCTCATGTTACGGTTAAAGTGCGAAGTCCGGCGAATGTGCACATTTACCGGGCTTTTTGGTAAATATGAATAATCTATCATTCTCAGAAGAAATTTACACTTCCCAAGTAAATTGGTGATTGTACACATTGACCAACGTTAGTTGGTAAATGTAGAAATTGAAAGCAAGTAATTTGTTCAGTAATTATAATTATTATAAAATATGATAATGTAAGGAATTATTATAAATTAATTAATTCTTAATATAAGTAATTAAATAATATAAATTTTAAAAAAGAAATAAAGGTAAGTATACATAGAACGAATAATATATAGAAATACAAATGTACACGGAAAAAATAAGTCGCGGAAATTTTCCTCGACTTTGTTGAAGACTCTCGGATTTAGTGGAAAGTGTTTTAAAAATCATATTCACAGTTTTTGAAGAAATAGACTACATTTGAAGAAACTTTCCGCGACTGTCGAAGAAAATGAAGACTCCACGCGCATGTAACCGATTCCGCCACAGTCGCGGAAAATTACAAACCTGAATTTACTCTACAGCGTTCTAATTTTTAATTGACAGTCGCGGAAATTATTTAGAATTTTTTAATGTATATATTAATATCGACACATTGAATAATAAAAATAATAATAATCTTGACAATCAATTGTCATAAATTGTTAAAAAAAAATGTTAAAAAAACAGTGTTTATTGGTTTTAACGCGCGCAACTTTTGTGCGCACCATTTTCCGCGACTCGTCGACGAAACCTTCTATGAAGTGTTAGAATAATTCCGAGACTGTTTTCCGCTACTAGGTTTCTAGAAAGTCCTCGACTTTTTTTGGAGAATTTCTGCTAAAATCGTAGAACATTTCTAAAAGTCTATAAAAGATTCGTTCATATCCGAGAGTCTTCGATTAGTCGCTGAAAATTTCTGCGACTATTTTTTTCCGTGTAACAAATAGAAATTGAAATGTCAATTGTTTAAGAATAAAACTTTTACAAATATGTACGATAAATTTGTAACAGTTGAATGTTTATTTTCTAAACGTCAGTTATTATTCTAGTTTGCATTCTGCAGTGACATCTGTCATCAGATATTTTGGATTTATACAGTAAAAAAATAATTTTGTAATTGCTTCCTACTGGAAAATTGAATTAGAGCTTATTAGAAGTTAATAATATAATATTTGAATCCTATAATTTTTAATATTTACGATTAATTATCAACAAAACTTTGTGCTACTTATTGCGCTACTCGAAAATGGTTGCAGCTTCATTCGGACAGCATGATTTTTTATATAATGAATAAAATATTTCTTGTTTAATTATTTTGTAAAATAACACTATTTTCATAAAATACATACTTCATATATTCGTCCAGTATATTACTTTAAAGTAATTATTGCAATGCATTATTATTTATTTGACAAAAAACATGAAAGTGTCCGACCACCGGTACTGTCCGACTATACCTGCACTACCCTGCCATTTGTTCGGGGTATACTAATTTTTCACTTTGGCCAAAACGATTTGGTGAATGTGTACATTCACCGGTTAAAGTGCGTAGAAACACAAAATTCGTATGCTATTCTCACATTCACCATCCAATTAACGCCCAATTCGGGTAATGTGCACATTCACCAACTTCGCACATTAACCGTAACATATATAAATAATTATAGTAACTATTATTGAACGTGTGAGTTTTGGACAATGTTATCTGCGCCTTTGTGATTCATGGAATGGAAGTATCCCAGTCAAAAAAGTATATGTATTCTAAGTTTTTTTTACTTTTTGTATGAAAGTTTTCAGGCCCAGAATGCAAAAAGTTTGTTTACCAAGTGCAAAATTTTCCTTTAGTATGTCATATACATTTATGTATTTTTAGTGTATCTCCGAATATGATTTGGAACAAAGTCGGGAACTGCACGGAGAATATTATATTTTCGCAAAATATACAGTTATTATTAAAATATAAATAAATCTCTACCCTTTTAATAAATTTTTGTGGCAGTATTTTTGCTTCATTCTTTTTTTGAAAAACTTTATTCGTTGATAAACGTTGTGGACTTCAACTTGGTGTCAAAGTGGGAAATACCACACTCAAACACCTGACATTAATTAAAAGCTAACAACTTCGCATACATTTTGTTTATTTATGAAACATATTATTAAATATTTATATCATTAACTGCATTCTTTATTTTTCTTATTTGCTAGATTTTGGTCAGATAAGTTCCTTCGGAAAATTTACACATGGGTTATTATTTTAAATATTAATTTGATTTTTTTACATTTTTTATTCATTTAGAACTGAAAATGCAATTAAATTTCAGTTTTGCAATACTTTGGGGTATTCCCAGTTCGGGGCCAAGTTGGGTTGAACCAAAATTTGTTCAAGTACACTAGAGAAAAAAAAAATTTTTTGCGCTTTTTTTAGTTGTGTTGATTTGTTTATTTGACCAGCATATTTATTTAAATAACATCAGTAGAATTTCACTGAAGAACAGTTAAAAATTATTAAAATTTCAGTCATTTTCCACTGATTAACCAATTAAAAAATAAATGAAAAAAATAAATGACAGAAATTTTCAGTAATTTTTTAATTGGCAAATCAGTGAAAAATGACTGATATTTCAGTAATTTTTAACTGATTTTCAGTTAAATTCTATTGATTCAAATCGCGAGAATAGAGTCACTTGATTCTCAGTCAAATTCAGATTTAGAGAATTGATTCAATAATTTTATGTAAAAATGCACACACGGAAAAAAAGAAATTAGCTGCAGCAGTAAACAGATGTTTGCTGTAAAATCTCTGAAAATTAGCTACCACAGCTAAGAAGTTTGCAGTGGCAGCGAACATGTTAGCTGTGACAGCAAACATTAGTAAAAATTTATGCGAGTTTGCTGTCATAGCGAACTTTTTCGCTGTCCCTATTTCAACGAACAAGGTTTGCTGTGGCAGCAAAATGTTCGCTGCCACAGCAAACCCTTTCTATGCGTGCACATTTAAAATTTTCTGATTTACTACAGAAACTGAAAAAGACTTTAGTTGCTGCAAGAAAACATAACATCTAAATACACGTTATTTTTGAGCAGTAATAAATTAGCACAAATGCGCTGAAAAACATTTTTTTTTCAATGCAGAAAATATCGGTTGTAGTGTTGCAGACACTAATTTATTACTCTAAGAAGACACAATATTTGTGTTATGAAAAACGAAATTTAAGATTACAAAATCTTTAAAATAAATTATTTTCAACTTGGTAAATGGAGATACCATTCTGAATAATTATGTTTGAGACAAAGAAAATTCTTTCGTAAAAAGTAATTGGTGGCCCTGAAAAGGGCCGTTTGTTTTCAATCATCCACTATCAATTTTATTTCACTTTACTTCTTGGCAACCCTCTTTGCCGCGGGCTTCTTCGCCTTGGGCGCTGCAGCCTTCTTGGGCGAAGCTTTGGCCGCCTTCTTGGGAGCAGCCTTGGTCACCTTGGGTTTGGCGGTGGTGGACTTGGCCTTCGGTGGCTTGGCCGCAACCTTCGGGGTTTTCTTCTTCTCGGCGACGGCTTTCTTGGTCTTGGCTGCCACGGCCTTCTTCGGAGAAGCTGCTTTCTTGGCCTTTGGTGCTGCAGCAGCTTTGGGTTTGGCGGCAGTCTTGGTCTTGGGCTTGGCTTTGGCCTTGCCCTCGGCCTTGGCGACGTTCAACTTGAAGGACCCTGCAGCGCCCTTGCCCTTGGTCTGGATCAGAGCCTTGCTGGCGACTGCAGCCTTCAGGTACTTTCTGATGAAGGGAGCCTGCTTCTCGACATCGACTTTGTAGGTGGCGGCGATGTACTTCTTGATGGCTTGGAGCGAAGAGCCGCCTCTCTCCTTCAAAGTGGCGATGGCCGCGTTCACCATCTCCGACGCTGGCGGGTGACTGGCCTTGGCGCGGGGCTTCTGCGCCTTGGCTGCTTTCTTCGGAGTTGCCACTGCAGGTACAGCTGGGGATTCTACCTTGTCTGCCATTTTACTAAAGTGGTTTTCGAAAAACTACAAAAAATGTTCAATAACTTGGAGATGCTTTCAACTCAAGCGTTCAAACAGTTATAAACACATTTTCCTGCGCTCGTCGACATAGTAAAACGCACGGACGGTGAAGAAAGACCCCAGCGCTCGTTGGCTTTCTCTCGTTTTAATTCTCGGTAACTTGGGTACACCATACAAAATTTTATTCACCTTTTTGATCTTTAATTGTTCTTCTTCACGTGCAAATAGATTGAATTTCAATTATGCGATTATTCTAGTTTTCTAATATTAGGAAAAGCATTACACTTTCATTGTGTTTTTCGGTAAAAATGAGCAATTTTCAAGACTCTGCTTTTAGTGATCATTCTCAACAAGTTCAGAAAATTATAAAAAACAAGTAAACAAATTGAATTGTTAAAAAATTAACCTCTTAATTTAATGCTCTATTTATCTCCCTCTTCGGATAAAAAACTTTTTTTACTTTGAGTTATAAATTGAAGGAGGTATGGTTACTTCAGTTTGGGTATGAGTTCTTACTTTCGGCACATAATGCAGTGGGATAGAGTGCATTGTCTAGATCAATAATAAAAAGTTTTTAATAATTTTTCAACATCATTTATGTGTAATTTAATAAATTTTTAGAATAATTTATTGTATTACAGAAATTTACTATAAATGATTGATTTTAAAACAAACAAATGTATGTTTGCGTGACGTACAACAGTATTATCATTTTTTTACTTTCTTGTATACCTGTACTATGCTTGAAAAAAGTTCAAAATTTTTTTTTAGTTTTTATACATATTTAAAAACCTTACATTTATTATTTGAATGTTCAATAATTCTACAAATTTGTAAAAGAACAACTTTTATATTTAAAGTAATTATGGCGACAGGCCAGTAATATTTCACCAAGGAAAAAAATTGTTCACTAAGTAAATTAATTATAAATATCGCAGCCATATTACCAGAATAATATTTATAAAAATAAATTCATGTTTATATTTTGATGATAATTGTTTTACAATTAAATTAGGGTAACTGCACCAATTGCCGAGGGTGCTCCAATTGTCGAGGATAATAATTTTCTTTTTTAGATAAATAGTATAATATATAATATTTAAGAACAAAAAAAATTTCTAAATAATCTTTGTATTTTCAACTGTATATTTATATATACAAATTTCGTAGCGATTCTACTAAAATAATTATTTAATTAATATTATAATTCACTGCTGTGAAATTTACACGAATCTCCATTTTCTTAATACTTCAGGTTGATTAAAACAGATTTTTAGAAATGCAAATTAAACGTATTTATAATGACTTTTTGTGTACAAAATTATTATTATAATTTTGTACACGAACTAAATTAATTTTGTATGCATGTTTTTTTGTTAAAAAAAATATTTAATATTTTTTAAAAGCAAATCATCGGTATTTGGTTCCTTTTTTTTGACAGTTCCATTTTTCGAGGTAATGACTCGAAAATTGGTGTAGTCACTTTTTTCGCTGATGCACTATTTATCGATGGTTAAGTGTTTATTTACTAAACGTCAAACATAAATGCCAAACATTTATAGGTACAGAGAAAAAGAAAAAAAATGCTCCAAAAATTTACAACCAACAGAAAATAATCAACAAAAAAACGAGGAAGACCGAAAAAAAATTAATAAAAAAATGCATTATTTAAAACTAAAAAATTTTGTACTATAGTTTAATTATAATTAACCATTATATTTACAGTTCGTAGGTAATAAAAGTTTATTTTATTCGTTTACAAATTTAATGTGACTTAAATTAATTTATTTTTTCAATTAATGTCTGATTAACAAAATTGATTAAATTTAATTAACTTATATTTATAAAAGTTTAAAAAACAGTTAAATAATTTTCTGTCCTGTATCATCTACTATAAAAATGTTTTATATCGATATTATAAATTATTCAATTATAGTTAAATAAATATATTTGTTTTCTGGTAATGTTCTATAATATTTTTATCGAAAAAATAAATATCTACTCGATTTTCTAATATCTGTACAGGTTAATTGTTAGGTTATATTGGGTTATATGTTTAAAAATGTCATACCCTCGACAATTGGAACAGACCCTCGAGAAATTAGCACAAGACCATCGACAAATGGTGCTTTTGCTCGATTGACTTTTAAATATATTTTTTGCTTAACAATTTAGTTTATATTAAAAAAATAAATATGAATATTAAACATTATTAGATCCTTCGTCCAAATATACAAAAATCAAATTTTAAAGTGCATTTACTTCCGAGAAAAAAAATGTCAAAGACACATGTTGCCTAAAACCCTCGACAATTGGTACAGTTACCCTATAAACAATATTTAAATGTATTGAATAAATTTCTTTCGTTGATCAACGTTGTGGACTTCAACTTCATTATTTCAAGCCATATGAATTAACGATGTTTATATCTTTTTATTTCTAATATTATTGATAATGTAAAATTACGTTACATCATGGAAATTTAGAAAGTAAAGAAATATTTAATAAATTTGCTACTTGAATCCTAAATTGTGGAAAGAATTCAAATTTTTATTTTTATTATTTTCTTATGAAATTGTTTTTTGTCTTTTATTTCATTGTTTTGAACAATCAGTCGTATGGATTAAATAATTTTTAGCTTTTTCAAAGAATAAGAAAAAAGTTGAAGAAAATTGATGATAGGCTTGAACTTGAAATTTGATCGTATGTATTGAATATAAGATAAAAAAAAGAATTTTATTGTCTTTTCTCAAGTTGAAACAAATCCACACATTTTTTATTGAGAAATAAAAACAATTAGTGAAATTTCAATAACTCGGAGTGAAAATAACTGTACAAAATTGAAATTTCCATGTTAATTATTACTGATTGGATGCTGTGAAAATTTCATGAGTTCAAAAATAACGAAATATTTATCGAAAAGCACATTATTTAATTATATTGTATAACTTTTTTAAATCCAAGTTAGAAAAATTATCAATACTTTTTGGTGTAATAGCTTTCAGAAAATTTGCGAAATAAATAATTTTTCTGTGCAAATACCAACTTTTTATGTATTACAATTAATTGTAATCAATAATATTGGTAGTGGTCAAAAAAGTAAATTTGTAGTCACAAGTCCAAAGGCTTGGAAAATCTTATTCTTAGTTCAAAATAATTATTCATAAAGTCTGTTATAAATTCAAATAGTAATGAATTTTTTAACCAAATAATCAATTAGACTGTAGTTTTTGCTAAAATTTCTTGTGACTAATGAAACCAGTCAAATTTGAATGTTCTTTAGAAATGTTAATTATTGAAAAACAACCAAACGGATGGAGTACAACTTTTTTTATAAAAAAACCCTCAGAATAATAAGGTATATTTTTATTTGTACGACTATTTTAGAGAATCAAAAATATTTCAAAGTAAAAAGATTTGTTGGCCCTGAAAAGGGCCGATTGTGTTTTGAGAGTGGTAGGGAAATTTAAGCACGTTCTCCTCGGATGCGACGAGCCAATTGGATGTCCTTTGGCATGATGGTGACTCTCTTGGCGTGGATGGCGCACAAGTTGGTGTCTTCGAAGAGACCGACGAGGTAGGCCTCGCTGGCCTCCTGGAGGGCCATCACGGCGGAGCTCTGGAAGCGCAGGTCGGTCTTAAAGTCCTGAGCGATTTCACGGACTAAACGTTGGAAGGGCAGTTTGCGGATGAGGAGCTCGGTGCTCTTCTGGTAACGACGGATTTCACGGAGAGCGACGGTTCCGGGCCTGTAGCGATGGGGCTTCTTCACTCCACCGGTTGCAGGCGCGCTCTTTCTCGCGGCCTTGGTGGCGAGTTGTTTCCTTGGTGCTTTACCACCGGTGGATTTGCGCGCGGTTTGCTTGGTACGAGCCATTGCTTACGACTTCAAAGTACGAAGGACGACTGAAAAATGGTTTCGGCGATATGAACGCACATATTTATAGCTTTCAGAAGCTCTTGCACCAGTTAGTCAAGAGGAAGGGGACACTGACATCCTGATTGGTCGGTCAGATCGTGGAGGGGAGCAGTGGAACTCCAGAGGGAATAAAACAGCGTACTTTCACCGGCTTAGCATCATTCCGAGTTTGTTGTCTGTTCTGTTTTGAACGTAAACCTTATTCTCTGTGAAAATGACTGGTCGCGGTAAGGGAGGAAAGGGATTGGGAAAAGGAGGAGCAAAGCGCCATCGCAAAGTGTTGCGTGATAACATCCAAGGTATCACTAAGCCCGCCATCCGTCGTCTGGCTCGTCGAGGTGGAGTGAAACGTATCTCAGGATTGATTTACGAAGAGACTCGTGGTGTCTTGAAAGTGTTCCTTGAGAACGTGATCCGTGACGCCGTCACTTACACCGAACACGCCAAGAGGAAGACCGTCACCGCCATGGACGTCGTCTATGCTCTCAAGCGTCAAGGCCGCACCCTTTACGGTTTCGGCGGTTAATTTTCCCATCATCATCGTCATCATCAAAAAACAATCGGCCCTTTTCAGGGCCACTAAATAATTTTACGTTGGAATTCTTTTTTCAATTCATTTTTGAATGTTTGTCTACAAGATTTGAAGTTTTATTGATCCTCCATACAAGCGTACACCATTTTGTGAACGTTTCGTACTTTCACACTTAGTATTTCTACAGAAAGTTACAAGCGATGTTAATTGGAAAAAAGTAAGTTAAACTTGTTTAGCAGCAAATGTTTTTAGTTTCTGGAACGTTTTAATATTTTTTCCTTGTATCCTTTTGGTATTAAAATTCCTTTTACCTATTGTTCGATTTTTGTCAGTGCCGTCTTCATAAGGCGTCTCTAGAACCTTATTTAATTTTATATTTTATCTTTTTTTACTGCTCATGTTTTTTATTATAATTATTTCTTACATAATAGTAATAAATTTAAATGTAATTTTTTTTATTAATAAAATTTGTTTAAAATGGACTGCATTTTGTTTTTAATCAGTCTAATCGTAAAGATTGAACTTGATTGGTTCTACTTTAGGGATCGAGCAGAAATAATTCTCTTGTAGCCAGAACGTAACATTTTTCATGTCAATTATAACTTATTACCATTGGCTCTCTCACTACGTATAGCCGGAATATTTTCAAGGTCAAGTAAACAATTTATAAAATGTTTTTGTGCATATAAATTTTTTAACAATTAATTAAAATGAGTTCCGGGAAACTTTACAAACAATACGTTGGTAAAATTTAACCTCGACAAAATAACGATGAACAGTGTAATATGTATAGAGATATAAAAATACTGGATAAATAGTGAAATTTATTTTTGGAAAATATGTTAATTTCGTAATTTCCAGTCCATATTTTGTGACTATTTATACTATTTTTCTATCAACGTTATATGATTCATGAAAATGATGTCATTGCCATGTAATAAATTCCGTTGCATTACGTGTGGTAACATCGTTTGAAAAGTATCCGCAGTTTTGACGTTTCGAAGACGAACGCATTGTTTACGTTGTGTAATTTCAAAACAAGTGTCAATTCATTTGGTATGTAAATTCTATTTTATCCAAAATTGTTGCAAGTATATATTTTTACAAATGTTAAAAAATTTTTAGGTTATTAAAATATTATATATTATATATATTTTTTATAATTATATTTTTTTTGCTTTTTTAAAATTTTTTAGTACGGAAAATATTACTAAATAGTTGTAATATTTTTTTAAATAGAAAATTTAGTATTTTTTTAATAATTTTGATTTTTTCTCAAAAGTGCTGAAAGGATAAATAAAAAATATGGGACAAATGCAGGAAAAAAATCAGGATTCATTTGTCATCGACGAGAATGACAATAATGGTTTAATATTGAACAATCAGTACATTCCAGAGGAAGTGTTGGCCAGTGTATTGTATCACGTCGATCATAAATCGCTGGTAAAATGTATGTTAGTTTGTAAACGATGGAATTATTTGATACGCAATTACGTGTGGAGGAAAAAGAGTGAGACGATACTCGGTCGATTATTGCCAGCTGACGATGAACATTTACCATGGTCGTTGCACTATCTTATTTGTAAGCCGCACGGACCGTTCGAGAGGAATTTGGTGAAAAATCATTCAGGAAGTGAGGGACTCAAGAAACATTGGCGGATCATTCGAAATCAAGGTAATAAATGGTCAGTTGAGGAGCCGCCGGTTGGCGTGCCGGCATTACCGGAAAGTGAAACATTGTTTCAGGAGAAGAAAATATGTTTCGTCACCTCCTACGATTATTGTAGTAAAACACAAACAATTGATCTTATCAAGGAAGGATTAACTGCTCATATTTTGGATGAGGTCCAACCACATATTCAAGTGAGTTTCATTAATATTTTCGGTGTAACAAAAAATATCTTCCTTTTGGAATAATAAATTGTCAAATGATACATACCTGTAAATTTAGATTTTAGATTTATTAATCGTCGATTATTTTGTAGTTTAGCGAGTGGTACAGTGCCCGATGGGACTGCAGAGCTTGCTACGAATGTTCAGTGACATTACTCAAGGATGATGAAGAAGTTGTAGCATCATTTGAATTTAACGATATTCTCGAAGGTGAAAAACAAAATGTTTGGTTGCAGGTAATGTTTCTGTTTTAATTTTCCTAAGTTTCTGAAGTTGGCGTCAAAATTAATTTTTCAAAACATTTTTTTAACTCCAACTTCAGAAATCAAAAGTAAATCTTCAAAATAAATAAAAAAAAAATAAATAGCAACTTTAAAAATAAAATTCTACGCAAACATTTAATTATTTTCAAAAATAATAAATATTTCACAGTAATTCAATTATTTACCATTTTTTTTTATGAATTTCTTCCCAATAATTGAATTATTTTCATAAACAATACGATTTTTTTTACAGAGATTCAATTATTATCACAAATAATAAAACTCATCGCAGAATTTCAATTATATTCAAAAATAATATAAAATAAAATGATTGCTTATTTTTAATTATTTTTAATACAATTTTAATCGAATTCCATATATGAAAAATGTAATTATTCATAAAAGTTTTATTACAATTCGTCGAAAGAATTTAATTATTTTCATTTGTACCTAAGTGATTACAGAAATTCAATTATATTTTCAAAAATAATCAAATTCTGCGGAGAAATTCAATTATGTTTCAACTTTTTTTTTAAATTCTCGTAAAAATTTTTAATTAACTTTATAAATAATAAAATTATTCTCAGAAAATCAATTATGTACAAGAATTTTTAATTAACTATATAAATGATAAAATTCTTCTCCGAAATTCAATTATGTTATCAAAAATTTTCCTGAATTCAATGATTTTCAAATATCTATTTTAATAAAAAATTTCTAAACAGTTTTTGGCATTTAAATTACTTTTATAAATAACAAAAATCATCACAGAAAAAAATTACATTTTTCGCCAAATTTTAATAAAATTCATAAAAATTTTATTAAAATTCGTCGAATGAATTCAATTATTCAAAAATTTGTTGATAAAATAAAATTGAATTCTTTATGAGAATTCAATTTAAAGAAATATTCAATTATTCAATAAATTATTTATTTTTGTATTTAAATAATTGAATTTTCTAATAAGAATTGAATTTAAAAATGAGTTTTAGTTAAAATTTTAGATAATAATTGAATCTATTAAAAGCATTTTGAAGTAAATTTTTAGAAATAATTGAATTTTGCAAAGTTTTCAAATTAAAATATTAGAAAATTTGAATTTTTTATACTGAATTTTTAACTGATAATTCTGTAGAAATAATGTTTTTGAAAAATTTTTAATTATAATTCTTTTGAAATTATAGTTGATTTTTAATACATATTTAATTATTAAAAGTAATGAATTTATAGAAGAATTTTAGTTAAAAACACAAAAAAAAGTGAATTTTAGAAAATTTACAATTTCTGATTGCAGAAATTCAATTATTTTCAAAAGTAATGAAATTTTTCTGCAAAATTAAATTATTTTCAACAATTTTTAAAAATTCTTGTCAAAATTTCAATTATCTTTTCAAATAATAATATTCTTCTCTGAAATTCTATTGTTTAAAAAATTTTTTTTTTTAATTCTCTGCAAAATTTCTATTATTTTTAATATAATTTTAATCGAATTCCTCGAAAAATGTGTAATTATTCTTGAAATTTTTTATTAAAATTCGTCGAAGGATTCAATTATTCAATTATTTTTCTTTTATTTTAAACTTTGTTGATAAAGTTTTATGCGAGAATTGAATTTTAAGATTCAATTATTTTATAAATTATTTATTTTTGTATTTAAATAGTTGAATTCTCGTAGAATTTTCTAATAGAGATTGATTCAAAAGTGAATTTCAGTTTTAATTTTACATAATAATTGAATATTAAAAGAATTACAAAATGTATTTTTATAAATAATTGAATTATTGTAAAGAATTTTAACAAAATAGTTGAAAATAATTGTATTTCTTGGCATAATTATTTTTAAAATTTTATAGAATAATTGAAATTTCTCTAGAAAATTTTTTATTTATGAAAATAATTGAATTTTTATGAAAAATTTGTTTATTTTTGAAAATAATTATTGAATTTTTCTGAAGAATTAAATTATTTATGTAAATAATTAAAAATCCTGCGATTTTAACATTAACATTTTAAATTTCGATTTTATAGAATAAAAATTGGAAATGTGGCTTTTTCACATATTTTATTATTTATTTTGGTTTTTTTGTACTTTGAACTTACATTTTTCTTGGATTTTTCGGTCTGGATTTCTTGTCCTGCTAATCAACAATAAATTTATTTTTTTTTATTGAATTTTTTTTTAAAATTATTTGAAGTTTTTATTTTCTAAAATTTATGTAATTGAAGAATATTTCTGAATGATTGAAATTTCGTAAAATTGAATTGTAAATGAATGGATTTGAAAATTCTCAAAAAAGTTTTTTAAAAATTATATAAAATTATTGATTTAGAAAAGAATTTTAGTTAAAAATTCTGGTATTTTTAATTATTTTCACTGCTTCGAGCCCTGAACTATACGTAATTAATTATTTTTTTATTTCAGGTCAATCACGTTTTCGAAAACTATGGAAGTGGCGTAAGAAAAATTAGATTATGGCATCAGGGGAAAGACAGACAGTTCTGGTATGGACATTATGGTAGTAAAATGGCTGGTTCTTGTATCAAGGTGAAAATTCCATTACTTCAAGATGAGAAGAAAAAAGGATAAAATTGTGTACAGTATCCAAATAAAAATACATCAGTGAAACCCCGAGTTTTCGAGCATTGTAATAATTTGTAATAATCGACTTTACTTAAACATAATCTGTATTTATTTTATTTTTTTAAAAAAAAAATTCGTTATTTTTAATAAATTGTTTATAATTATTATGATATACATAATAGAAACATCTTTTCTTCAAAAATTTCTTCAAAGAATGAAAATTTTTAATTATACCAACAATATTTTTTATATATAAGAGTTTTTACTGTATCCGAGTTTTCATCTAATCTGAGACAAATCTTATCAACATTATAATGCGAATAAGCGGGATTTTACCTAATAATTAAATTTACTTGTTGAAAATTGTTGCTCTCTAGAAGAACACTGTATTTTCAATACGAAAGTTTTAATCTTATCTCTAATTTATATTTACATTTCGTATGCGCTTATTACAAGAAAAATTTATAGTTAATGTTAATGTTATTTATATACATAAGTCAAACTGGTTTTGAAGTGTATTACTTTCAATATTTGATGCATTTTACAAAAATTACCTGTTGTTTTTATTTCTCACTGAAAAAAAACCTAATTTTTATCCCTAACTGTAAAATAAAAAAACAATAACCATTTGCCAACAAAAATTCGTTTTTAAAAATATTTTTTTATATTTTTTTAATTATATATTTAATATAATATAATTATATAATTTTTAACTAATAAAAATAAAAAAAACTAATAAGTAAAAGAGTGTTTTTTCTTTTACCTTTTATACGTCTTCTAAAAATCGAAAAAATTAATTTATTAATAAACTAGTTTTTTAATTTTTCTACAGAAAAATTCAGAATAAAAGAAAATGAGACACAAGAAAGAATAAACACATATTCTATCGTATTCTATTTATTTTAAGTACTCGGTTCGCGTGTAACGTCTACATAATTTTTTTTTCATACATATTTATAATTCATATACGAAGAAGGAACAAAAATTCTTACAATTGAGGATAAAACTTGGATATAAAGATTTAAATAAAAGATCATACCAACATTATAATAAACTTCTATGTATATATGTACACATAAAAGATCTCTTCATTCATTCAATTTTTTTAAAATAATTATAATTTTTCAAAAATGCGTTATCTCTATATATGAAAAAGATCTTTAATGAAAAAACAATAATTTTTCAATTTGGTAATTCTTCACAACTTCGCGATGTCCGAGAGATTTTTTTTTTCAAAACGTATAATGTAGCAATAAATGTATTACAATTTTCAGTAGTTTCATGGCATGTCCAAGTTGTAAAATTTGAATAAACTCGGCATTTTCAGTAAGGTTCCAGTTATAATATTTAGAAAGTAAATTGTTTTATTATTTGTATATTCTTAAGAAGAATTTTGTTAAAATTTTTGAAAAATATATTGAATTTTTGAATAATTTTGTTGAACAATTTAAAAAAAAATTTAAAAGAATAATTAACTTAAAATTGCGAATTCTTAATGAATTTTATTATTTATGAAAATAATTGAATTCTTATAAACAAATTTTATCTAAATTATTTAAAACTAGCATTTTAAAAGACTTTCTTTTTGAAATTTAATGAAAATTCTTCATTTTTGTAAGTTTTTTTAATTTAAAAAAAATTAATAATTTCAATTATTTGAACTTTTAGTGTAAAAATCGCCAAGATAGTTCTAACAATAACTTGAATGTAAAAGATTTTGGAATAAATAATTGAATTTTCGAGTATCACAGGAACAATCTTGGTAAGAAGTTTAATTCTAAATTTTTTTCCAAATTTTCAATTAGAATTCTTCAAAAATACGATTATATTTCAAAATACTTTTTAAAAGTAAACAAATAAAATTCATCAAAATATAATTAATTTATTTCAATTAAATTTGCCAAAATTTTCAATTTTTTAAAATTATTTTCGGAAATACAATTATTTTCGGAAAAATTTTAATTAGGTACATTTTTTCAAGAAACAAATTTTTTCGGAATTTCTAAATTGAATATTATATTCAAAACTCTTCAATACTTTTTGTTAATCAAAAATTTTTTAACTGATTCTTATTTATTTTTCCACAGGAATTAAAATTTTAAATAATTTCAATGAAAATTATTTCTAAAAATTGCAACTGTAATTCTTTCAAAATTCAATTCTATTTTTAGAATTTTTTGAAAAAATTAGTCAAAACTTTAAGAATTTTTAAAGAAAAATAATGTTAATTAATGATTTTTTTAAAATAAAAATTAAAATATGTAGTTTTATACTTTTGCTTCCCTTAAATTCTTATTGTAACGCTTTAAATATTCAATTATTTTCTACAATATTTTTAATGAAATTTTTTTAAAATCGGTTTCTATCAGAATTTAACTTCGAGAATTGAATTATTTAAATAAAATAATTTTTGTAAGTTTATAAAATGTTTGTAAAAATACAATTATATTTATAGATAGTTTTTAGAAATGAATAAATAAACTTCTTTACAATATAAAATTTTACAAAATTTCAAATTATTGTTGTAAAATTATTGGAAAAAAATAAAATTGTAAATAAAAAAATTTTTTTTTTGTAAAAATTGTATTGTAAAAAATTTGTAAAATTGTATTGTTTAAAATAATTTAATTTTTTTGAGAAATTTAATTAAAATAATACTTAGATATTGAAAAAATTTAATTTCCTTAAAAAAAATTCATTATTTTAGAAAATAATTGAATTGTTTCAAAGAATTTTATTAAGATTTTTTTAATTGTTTCTAAAAATTTTATTGATCAATAATTTTTAAATTGTTTCTAAAAATGTTATTAAAATCTTTTTAATTGTTTCTAAAAATTTTATTACAATTTTTTTAATTATTTTTAAAAATTTTATTACAATCTTTCTAATTGTTTCTAAAAATTGTATTCCATTTTTTTAAATTGTTTTTAAACAATTTTATTACAATTTATGTTTCTAAAAATTTTTTTAAATTTTTGAGAATTATTTTTTTTAGTTCAACTCTCAGTGGATTTAGTGCAAATTTCGCATATTGTTTACATTTTAAAACTTGGATATGCCCTACATGAAAAAAAACGTATCTTACGTGACTGAAAAATATTCTCGTATCATGTAAAGAAAAGATCTGATTTTAAATTCACAATCAAAAATTTAATAAACATTGTTGTAATGTATTAAAATAAAAAAGTTATTAGGTTATATTCGGCAAAAGAATATTTTGTTCAATAATTAAAATCCCAAAAGCAGCACTTGTGGGAAACTTTTTTTTCTTTGTTGTCAAGCGCTGTATAATATAATCTTTTTTTTAAATATATCTAGAAAAAAATTATTATTGCAGGTTTTTAAATTTTACGACAATAAATTATATTTTTATATATATATATATATATTATATATTTCTCTCTCTATCAATCTGTATATATAGTTTTGTGCTTTGATAACGGTACTAAATGCGACTTTTCTTTTCTCTAAACGAAAAAACACTTTTCTTTTATTCTTGTCGCAGTTTTCTAAATTTGAATCTTCGGCAATATAAATACACATCTTATAGCATAATATATTAGGAAATTTCCCATTTATTTTAATTATAATATAATGCATCACTTTCAAGCGAATAAATTATAATTTTCTCTATTTATTTTTCTTTCTTTTCTTCTTTTTTTTTTTAGATCTTTTGCAAAACAAAAAAAGCGCTTATTATAAAATTTATTTGTCTACTTTGTGAAATTTTAAATGAAACACTTTCTATATGATCACATCTCAGCTCTATCAAAGTGTCCTTTTATAAATGTACTACAAATAATTTATTAGCCTCTAGAATTTTTTTTTTTTTTCAAATTGTTTTGAAGTAAAATATGATAAAAATTCGTATTCTTCTATTTTTGGTTATTAATTTAATACTTTTTTTAAAAAAATGACAAGTCTGTGACTGACATCTTTAAGGCAAAAATAATAAAATAAATAAAAAGTGAAATAATAAATAAAAATAACAAAAAGAATAAAATAAATGATAAATAATAATAATTAACAAAATAATCTCAAACAATTGCGATTGTTGGGTCTCAAATGATAAAGCTGAGTTATCAATAAATTATAGAACTGCTTTTATTCTATTTTTGGTCTGTTATTACGAACCAGTTAATAAAAAAATTTGCCTGGAGAATTTTAATACAATATTTAATATGTTTATATGAAGATACAAAACGTCTGGTTCATTCAAGCTTCATATTCTTACAAGGTTTATTATTATATATGTTGTATCAAGAATTTATAATGAAAAAACTTTGGTCAAGACATGTCTTCTATTTTATAATTCGTATTTTATTTATCCCCATTAGATGGAAATAGATTTTTTTTCTATTCATTTTTCCTTTTTTTTGTAATAAAATCCTTGGAATTATAAAAAACTTTCAGCCTTATCGGTTTAAACTAGAAATGTAAGTATTGCAGTTAGTAAACATTGTCCTTGCATTATTAATTGTCGCGCGTTTTTTTTTTTTTTTTATTCAGAGAGGTTATTATGAAAATCTACGAAATAACATTTACTAAAAGTTTATAATATCTCTTTTTGGCTTTTTTGTTTTTTATAAAGAGTTTTGATTTTAATTTCTTCTTGTCCTCCAAGCATTTTTCAATGACTACATACAGTTTTTAGATGCGTATATAAGTTTATCGATGAACATAACCTAAAAATTAATTTTTTTCCCGCCAAATAGTATTTCAGGTTATGTCAGTTGACAATCTTATAAACGCGTATAAATTTTATAAATACAAGAGATTTGATTCGGTTTTTTAGTTTCCGAATATTTTTGATGCTTTTGATATTCAGGGTTGCCACGAAAATTTTATTTTTGTTTTTCCCTGATTTTTCCCTGATTTTAAGACAAAATTTTGACATTTTCCCTGAATCTAAATAAAATAAAAACAAATAATTTCCAAAAAAAAGTCAATTAAACTTTTACAAAAAAATTACTTCTACAAAATTGTTAGTTGAAAGTATGAAAAATTCAAATTTTCAAAGATTTTAATTTGAAACTATTTCAAAATTTAATTATTTTTAAAAATCCAATATTCTAAATTATTATTCAATTATTGTCTAATATTTTAAGGGAAGGGTAAACCGATATTTTTAATTAAATCAATAAAGAAGTTTAAATATTCCACAAAATTATTTTCAAGGTAATTTTTCAAGAGGAATTCAATGGTCAAAAAATAAAATCGGTCAGAAAAAAAATTTTGAAATCCATGAGTTATTTTCTAGAATGTGTGTTTTTGAATCTACTAAAAAATTGCTGAATGAAAAAATTGATTTTTATCATTTTTAAATCATTTTTTTGAACAAAAAATTTTGTTTTTAGATTGAAAATGCTAAAAAATATCATAATTATTCAATTTTTTTATTTCAAAATTCATTTGTTTATTTTTCTAATTTCAGACCATATTTTTTATTTTTTAAGATAAATAAAAATTATGAACTGAAATTAATTTAAAAAATAAACAAATTAATTTTCATATAAGGAAATTGAATAATAATTATGCCTAAAGCAAAGATTGGAAAAAATGCTTCAAAAATGATGAAAATTAATTTTTTCATTTAGAAATTTTTTTGTTTATTCCTCACAAAAAATTACCTTAAAAATAATTTTGTGAAATAGGATACTTAAATTATTTTCTTGATACAGTTAAAAATATCGATGTACCCTCCTCATAACTGAAATTAATTTTTAAATCAATTTTTATTAGAAAATTCTACGAGAATTCAATTATTTAAATACAAGAATAAAATTTTTTTTTGAATAATTGACAGTTTCTTAAAATTTAACTGTTATATAAAGAATTATATCAACAAATTTTTAAATAATTGAATTCTTTTGACGAATTTGAATAAAATTTTTAAGAATAATTATATTTTTCGAGGAATCCAATTTAAATTGTATTAAAAATAATTTAAATTATCTATAAAGAATTTTATTATTAATAGAAATAATTGAATCCCTGTAAAAAAATTTATTATTCATGAAAATAATTGAATTATTGAAAAAATTGTAAATATTTGAATTCCTGTGAAAGTTCTATTATTTATGAAAATAATTAAATGTTTGCTTAGAATTTTATCAAAGTATTGAAAATCATTGAATTGAGGAAAATTTTTGAAAATAATTGAAATTTTGACACGTATTTTATCAACAAATTTTTAAATAAATGAACTCTTGACGAATTTTAGTAACATTTTTAAGAATATTTACATTTTTCGAGTAATTTGAACTATATTTGTATTAAAAATAATTGAAATTCTTTTATGAGTTTTATTATTTATGAAAATAATTGAATTATTGCGAAGAATTTTATAAAAAAAAGTTGCAAACAATTGACTTTTTTCGAAAAAATTTATGCAAATTCTACTTTTAATAATCGAATTTCTGTCAAATTTTTATTATTTTAGGAAATAATTGAATAATCGTGTAGAATTTTGTCAAAATTGTTTTTAAATAATTGAATCCTACTTTTGGGAAATATATTATTAAAATAATAAATATACAAATTCTTGAATTGAGAAAATTTTTTGAAAATAATTGAAATTTTGCAAAGAATTTTATTAAATTTTTTTAAAATAATTGAATTCTTGTGATGAATATTGTTATTTATGAAAATAACTGACTTTCTCAGAATGATTTTATTAAAAAATTTGATTTTTTAGAAAAAACTTATGAAAATATTTTATTTTAAATAATTGAATTTCTGTGAAATTTATATTTTTTTGGAAAATAATTGAATGTTTGTGTAGAATAATATTAAAATTTTTGTTTAATAATTAAATTCTTGTGATGACTATTAGGTATTTATGAAAATAATTGAATTTTGCAATGAATTTTATTTAAATTCCTCAAAATAATTGAATTTTATCGAAGAATTTTGACATTTATTTTTAAAAATAATTGAAAAGTTGACAATTTTTTTTAGATTTTTTGAAAATAATTGAATTTTACAATGAATGTTATAAAAATTCCTGAACATAATTGAATTTCAACGAAGAATTTTGCTTTTTATAAAGATATAATTGAAATTTTGACGAGAATTTTGTTTTACATTTTTGAAAATAATTCACTTTCTGGAAAGAATTTAAATATTTATTAAGATATAGTTGAATTCTTTCAAAGAATTGCGTTAAAATTTTTAAAATTGAAATCCTTATATCTCCAATCATTTATAACTTCTCCAAAATTCAATTTTTTAAGTGTTTTTTTAACAGAAATTGTTCTATAAATCCATTATTTTTAAGAATTAATTAGACATTTATTAAAAAATTTGGAAATAGTTTCAGAAGAATTGGAATGGATTTATTCAAATTTTTCAAAAATTTAAGTCCTTTGAAATGTCTAATTAAAATTCATTGAAGATTGAAATTTTATAAAGTTTCTTTTGAAGTTCATCTATTTATAAAAATTATAAACGCAACTCTTTTAAAATTCAATTAATTTTGAAATGATTAAGAAAAATTATTCATTAAATAATTTATAAGTAATAATTTTATGATATAGTTCTTAAAAAATTAAGTTATTTAAAAAGAAGTTATTGTTAGAAATAGAAAAATTTGAAGGTTTTGTATATTAAAATTTGTGATAATCTCATAGTTTATGAGGCAAACAAAAAATAAACCAAAATTCAGAATTTTCTTATGAATTCTAAAAATTTTATTTTTCAATATACTTTTAATAAAATTCCCTGACTTTTCCCTGTAATTCCCTGACATGTGGCAACCCTGACATTATATTTATCGGAATTTTACAGAATCTGCATTATTGTAAATTCATTTGAGCGAAAAATTCTTTTTTCTCTCATTTTAAAAGTCATCACACGTGCGAGACTCTAAAAATTCTCTATATATAGTTTTGAATTCAAGGATATTTTAAGATATATAAAGGCCTAAATTTTTTTGGGGAAGTTGGTATAATGTGAGGGGGGGGGGGGGGATGGTGTTTATCTTTATTTACCGATGTACCCATCGATGAACGGCTTCAACCCATTGTGCCTCGGCGCTATCATCTTCTTTCTCGCCTTCAGCTTCTTCTCTCTCGCCGCGATCGAGATCACTACACGAATTCGTTGAGGGTGTTCTCGAGGCATAAACATTTCTTGCTCTTAATTCTGCCAGGAAGTCGTGTTCCTGTTGATAGCGTCGTTGTAATTCCTCCCGCCAAGAATTACCTCCTCCACTGCTGTCGTCACCATCTTCAGCGACCTCGAAGTCTATGGGTTAAATAATAAACAAAAATTATCATCATTTTTTTCCATTTTTTTTTGTTTTGATTCAATAAATTTTATATATTATTTTAAATATTATTAACATTCTTGAATTTTTTAAACAGCAACACAATAAAATTGACAAAATTTATTTATATTCCGGAGGGTCAGTATTGTTAAATCACTATTGCGAACCTTGTAGACTGTTTAATTATTTTACATTTTTGAATTTGATGATTCAATTATTTATAATTTTGCAATTCGATAATTCTTCTAGAACATTTTTCTTTCGAATAACAAAAAAAAATTAAATCTAATTTATCATTTACACATACAATCTATATAAATGAACCGATAGCAATAATTATCCGAAATCAATAAATAATTTAGTGTTTAATGATAATTAATATATATTTTAAGTTTATATGTAAATATATGAATTTTTATGTAACAGGCACAAAATATTTTACCATTTTTGCGAAAATTAAGATCCCCTTGAGGATGTTAGAGTCTAATTATTATTTATAATTATTTTATATTTATTATTTAATTTAATTTATTTTAATTTAATTTAATTTAATTTATTTTTATTAAATTTATTTTAATTTAATTTAGTTTATAATTATAATACGTCTACGCAGAGTAAAACATCTAAAATCTTAATTTTTACATGAGAGAGAAAAGGATAGAAATATCCTCTGTCATTTTCTAGAAAAAGACAAACGACGTTTTCTATCCTTCTTCCTCTCATGTAAAAATCCTTTCTAAAAAAAGACATGGGATAAAAGAATCGAATGCACTCGAAAGTGTAACTCGAAAAGTATCGAAAAGATTAAGCATCGGTAATATGAATAGAAGGGCGAACTCATGTTTCCAAATGAAATTGTAGTACATTAAAAATTCACATATACTTAAGAGATGGAGCTGCAGTCTGAAATTATTCTTTTACTACTAAATAAATAATAATATAAATAATAAATAACATATAATTTGTAATTAAAAATATAATTAAATTAATAGAAAATTTTACACTTAAGCAAAAAAATATTTTAAGTAAAATAGAATTTTATTTAAAAAATTATTAAATTGAAAAAATTAACATTAAAACTTTTAAAAATTGAACAAAAATGAACATGGAATAGAAGCAACGAAGACGGCCGAAGGCCGTCTGAGGCGCTAGTTAAAATAAAAGATTTGAAGGTTTCAATTCTGCGCAGGCCTAGTGATAAAAATCCCAATACGTTCCTATTCCGAACAGGAACAGCGGAATAGTTTAGAGAAAGCGCGCGAAATTTTAAAATAAGGTACAAATTGTAAACATACATGAAACCAAAATTATGGAAATTCTTTTCTTTTTTATGAATATAAAAATACAAAAATTTTTTTTCGGTACAAAAAATACCATTCATTCGTAAATAATTCTAAAATAAACCATTTAAATTTTTTTCTCTAAAATAAATATTTAATTTTTAATCAAATTTTTTTACTTTAAATTTAAATTAGTAAAAACATGTTTACTAACTTATATTAGTAACTTTTGAATTAGTAAATTTTTACTAATTAATAGTTGAATTCTTTTGGAAAATTTTATTAAAATAGTAGATATTGAAAATCATTAAATGAAGAAAATTTTTGAAAATATTTGAAATTTAGACACGAATTTTATTAAAATTTTTAAAAACAATTTAATTTCGAAGTATATAGTAATTTATTATTTATAAAGATAATTGAGATTTTAACTAAATTTTTTTTAAATTTTTGAACATAATTGAATTTCTACGAAGAATTTTTAACTGAAAATTCTTCTTACAATTCAATTTCACGAAATTTCGATTATTCGGAAATTCTTCAATTAAATATTTGTTAGAAAACAAAAACTTGAAATAATTTCCAAAAAAATTTAATTAAACTTTTAAAAAAAATTTGGAACATGATTGAATTTCTGCAATAATTTGTAACTTCTTCAAAATTCAATTTTTTAGTGTTCTTAACTGAAATTTTGGTAATTTGTTAGTAAATTTGACTAATTAATGGTAATTTCTACTAATTTATTAGTAAATGTTACTAGTTAACAGCAATTTATACTAATTTATTAGTAAAATTTACTAATTCAAAAGCAAAACATCAATCACTAATATTTGCTTCATTTTTAATTTTCAATCATATTTTAATAAAAAAATCTTTGTATTTCAAGTAAAAAAAAAATTTTATTGAATGTTTAAATATTCAAATATTTTTAATTAGGTTAATTATAAGAAATAGTTCTTTCCTTTTTCTTATTTTAATTATTTTTTTTGTCCATAACTAATTTACTAATTAAATACTCATCGTGTCTATTAATTTCAAAAATGTTAATAAAATTCTTCACAAGAATTCAATTATTTTCATATAAATAATAATCTTCCTATAAGAATTCAATTATTTTGATAAATAGTAAAATTTTTTGCAAATAAATTAAATTATTTTTAAACAAAATTTTAATAAAATTTCACGAACGAATACAATTGATTTCTATTTAATAAATCCTTCGAAACAATTCAATTATTTTTCTAAATAGTAAAATCTGTGCAAAAATTTAATAATTTTCAAGATAATTTCACGAATGAATTCAATTATTTTCTAAAATTTTAATAAATTCTTCGAAAAAATTCAATTTTATTTATAAATAGTAAAATTCTTTGCAAAAATTCAGTTATTCTTAATACAATTTTAATAACATTTCATAAAAGAATTCAATTTTTAAAAAATATTTAATAATATTTTTCGAAAAAATTCCATTATTTTCTAAAATTTTAAGAAATCCTTCGAAACAATTATTCAATTATATTTATTATATGTATTATATTTATATATTAGACATTCTTTTTTTATTATTAAATTTTTGAAAGTTTGCATATTCTGTTTTAATTCTATTATTCTAAGAAAAGAAAGTTTTAAAAATTAAAAATTTTGAAAAACTTAACTTTTAGTTGTTTTTTGGGTACCAGTTGGTAGCTGATTTTTATTAAAATAAAGAAAAAAACATTTGCATAATTTCTGTTTCATTTATTCTACAGTTTTCGTAATTATTCGCCATATTGCATCTACAATTATTAAAATTTTTTAAATTCTGACGCCAAATTCGTAATCAGCCATCTTGAAAACCCCAGAATTAACAAAAAGAGTGTATTTTTTAAAATTCCTCCCCCATATTGAATTCGCCATTTTGATTTTTTAAAGTCTATATATTGTCAAATTCACGTAATTAGATAGATATTAAAAAAATTCATATACAGCTATCCCGATAATCCAAAAGTGGTATATTTATCAATTTATTATACTTATACAGTCTTGATTTAAAATTTTTTTAAAATATTAAATTTACGCAAAAATATGTCCCTGAAGTTAGCGTCGACGCTTAGCATCGAAAATTATTTTTTGGACTTTCTAGAGATGAAAATTTACTAATTTTACTTCTTTCATTCATGTTCAGAATTCATGTTCAAAAAATCGTTTTATTCTTTTAATTTTTGTGAAAAAAAAGTTTTTCGACGCTGAATGTCGTCGCTAACTTTAGGGACCTGCAAAAATGACAAAGTTCGCCTCTCGTATTACATAAAATTTCACACATTATTTATAATGAAATTTAAAATACATATTAATAATCTCATTCGGAAAACTTGATGCTCTTTTAATTCAGAAAAAAAGAAACATCTAAAAAAACGTATATAATCTAATAAAATAATTATGTATCAGCTAGAAGTAATTATCTAAAACTATAAAATTGAAAGACTTCGCGAACATCATCAGGCACTGCTGAAGCATTTGTATAAATGTGAAAAGCAATTTTAAGGTATTGACTATAAATATGTATTATATATATAATATATAAATATAGAAAGAGAAAAAAAATTCTAAACGGATTCTCCTGTTTATGTGAAGCAGTTTTATATATATATGTCATATATTGTAATATAGAGAAAACATCAAGATTTGGAAAAAATATATATTATGTAAGTAAAAAAGTTCTGTGTGCAAGTGTCTTGTGATATTTATTTCAAATTTTTCGGTAAATTTAAGATAAAAAAAAAAGAAAAAAAAAATTGAAACTAGAAAAAGATGAAGAAAAAAATAAACTTACCTAGCGGCTTTCTGAAGTTATGGCGGCCAAAGTTGTGAGACTGATCCTCCTGGTCTGAGTCTGCAAGCCACCAGGACACATTCAAAGAGGGTGCATATCACACACATTCCACAACATGTCTAGGGAAGTTCCGTCTTCGTTTTTTTTTTTCTTATAATGCGTCTCGTCATAAATTTTAATATTAAAAAATCAAAATTTTTTTTCTAATTTTGAGGTAAGGGGGTGGGGGCAAAAAAACAAATTTTTCAAGGATGAAGAAAAAAGGGAAAATAAAATTCGTCTTGTTTTTTTTTTGTCATTTCGCCTCTCGACTTGCTGAAGGAGAATAAGAGACTAAAATGATTCTAGAACTAAACTAAATTTGACTTATGCAGGAGAATGCAATGAACACTTTTGAATGAGATTGAAATATATATATATATATATATATATATATATATATGTATATAAGTAAATGAAAATGTGTAATTTATGTATATTTATATATATATTTACAAATGTGCCAGGGAGATCCTTTTTTTGAGAATTTCGTATATAAAATGTTTAATTTACATATAGTCGGAAATGGCATTCATTTTTTTTATACAGCATTCAGGATAAAAATTACAGTATTTTTTCATAAATAAGTTGCACCGAGTGAAATAGTCAATGATAAACAAATATTCACGTAAATATTTCGGAAATTGACAATGTAAACTAAAATACTAATGACACTTATATTTTAATCATTAAAGATGATAAACTCATTATTTTATAATATTATAAAAATATAAGAATATTATGTCACTGTAACTTCTTCAAAATTATTTTCCTCATTTCAATTCAATTATTATTTTCCAGAATTTTTAATAATTAATTAATCTCTAAAGCAATTATTTTTAATAATTTTTGAAAAAGTTCTTTTTGAGAATTTTCAAATCCATTTGTATAAAATTCAATTTTACGTAATTTCGATTATTCGGAAATTCTTCAATTAAAAATTTGTTAAAAAATAAAAACTTAAAATAATAAAAAAAAATTCAATTATTAAACTTTTACAAAAATTAATTGTACAGAAAAAGGTGAAAAAAAAGTTAAAAGTATGAAAAAATCAAATTTTTAAAGATTTTTATTTGAAACCTTTTCAAAAATCAATTATTTCTAAAAATTCACCCTATAATGATTTTAATATTCAGATTATTATCTAATATTTAAACTAAAATTCCTTTTTGAGATAAATTTTTTATTAGAAAATTCTACAAGAACTCAATAATTATTATTTAAATACAAAAATTAAATTCCCTGAAAGAATTTAATTATGAAATTCAATTATTTTTTTAAAATTTCATAAATCATGTCTAAAAAAATGGAATTATTTTTTTTATAAATAATAAAAATTCCTCCAAAGAATCCAATTCTTTTTTAAAATTCCAATAGAATTCCTTTTAAAAATTCAATTCTTTCAAAAATTTTGATAAAATTCTTTCAAAAATTTAAATAATTTTCAATGCAATTTCAATTAAGTATTTAATAGAAGTCAATTATATTGAATTCTATTTTTGATGAAATTTCTCAAAAAATTTCTAAAAACAATTGAAAAAACATTAAAATAATTTCAAAATTTAATTAATTTCAAAATACAATTAAAAAAAATATTGAAATAACATTAAAATTCAATTATTTTCAACAAAATAATTGAAAAAAATTGAAATCATTTTATTATTCAATTATTTTCAAAAAATAATTGAAGAAATATTAAAATAAATTCAAAGTTCAATTATTTTTGAAAAATAATTTTAAAAATATTGAGATAATTTTAAAATACTATAATCATTTGCAGAAAATTGTTGAATAAATACCTATGGAAATAATTTCAAAATTCAATTATTTTCAAAAATTTTCGTTACTTATTAAATTCTTCGGAGGAATTCATTATTATTTTAATTAAATCTCATGATTGAATTCAATTATTTCTAAAAATTCATAAAGAACTTTTTCAACAATTTTTTTAATAACTGATTTTTTTAATAACTGATTTCTTTTGAATTTCAATAAAATTTTTAGCAGTAAATACATTTTTCGAGGAATTCGATTAAAATTAAAAATAATTGAAATTCTTCGATGATTTTTATTATTTATGAAAATAATTGAATTTCAAAAAATAATTTTATATATTTATGAAAATAATTGAATTATTGCAAAGAATTTTATAAAAAAGTTTGAAACAATTGATTTTTTTTTAATTTATGCAAATTCTATTTTTAATAATTGAATTCCTGTGAAATTATCATTTTTTTTAGAAAATAATTGAATATTTGTGTAGAACTTTTTCCAAATTGTTTTTAAATAATTGAATTTTTATGGAAAATTATATTAAAATAATAGATATACAAATTAATGAATTAAGAAATTTTTTTAAAAATAATTGAAAATTTGTAATGAATTAAAATTTTTGAAAATAATTGAATTTTATTACTTTTGAAAATAATTGAATTCTTGTGATGAATATTGTTATATTTATGAAAATAATTGAATTCCTCTGAATGATTTTATTATTTATGAAAATAATTAAATTCTTGGAAAGAATTTTAAAATTTATAAAAATAATTGAATTACTGCGAAGAAATTAATGCTAAATTTTAAAACGTTTGATTTTTTCGAAAAAATTTATTCAAATTCTTTTTTAAATAATACCTAATTGAATTTCTGTGAAATTTTAATTTTTTTGGAAAATAATTGAATGTTTGTGTAGAATATTTTCAAAATTTTTGCCACGAATTTTATTATAATTTTTGAAAATAATTGAATTTTATTACTTTGAAAATAATTGAATTCTTGTGATGAATACTATTGTTTATATGAAAATAATTGAATTTTGAAATGAATTTTATTAAAATTTCTGAAAATAATTGAATTTTGTTGAAGAATTTTGCTATTCATTTATAATGACAATTTAAATGTTGATGACAAAATTTGTTTCAGATTTTTTGAAAATAATTGAAATGTGACGAAGAATTTTATAAATATAAAGATAATTGAAATGTTGATGACCATTTTTTTCAGATTTTTAGAAAATAATTGAATTTCTGCAAAGAATTTTATTAATTTTGAAAATAATTGAATTCTTGTGACAAATATTGTTATTTATAAAAATAATTGAATTTTGCAATGAATTTTATTGAAATTCCTGAAAATAATTGAATTGTGTCGAATAAGAATTTTGCAATTCATTTATAAAGATAATTGAAATGTTGATGACCATTTTTTTCAGATTTTTAGAAAATAATTGAATTTCTGCGAAGAATTTTATTAATTTTGAAAATAATTGAATTCCTGTGATGAGTATTGTTATTTATGAAAATAATTGAATTTTACAATGAATTTTAAAAAAATTCCTGAGAATATAATTGTATTTAGGCGTTGAATTTTGCTATTTGTAAAAATAATTGAAATGTTGACGAGAATTTAAAAAATTTTTAAAATAATTGAATTTTTAGAAAGAATTTTAATATATTTATTAAGATAATTGAATTCTTTCAAAGAATTGAGTTAAATTTTTCTAAATTGAAACTAGTTTCAACAGAATTGAAATTAAAATTTAAAAAAAAAATTTGTCGGAATTATAATTATTTTTAGATGTAATTTTTAGATCCTGAATGCCATATTTGAGAATTAAGCACTAATAATGAAATTACGAATGATACATCATGCTCGTGATGAGTTGGAACGATTGAAACATGATAAAAAAATGGTAATGATATGTCTTTAGAAACATAATTTTGATAAGAATGATAATGACCTCTGAATGAGAAAATTTTCCTTTACCATCATCGAAATGAGAAACAAAAAATTAAATATGCTCCTATCGTTGCTACTCTAAAACGATTCGTATCATGTGAATCCCAAAAATTTCTAATTTGCTAGAAATCTTTGAGATTCACACACCTAAAACTATAAATGAAACACTCATTAAGTACTCTCACCTGCCGTTCGCGCTCGCAACTGCGTAAATAAAATAAATAAAAAAATAAAGAAAGAAAGAAAATTTTTTAAAAAAGTGAACCATGCCATCGATTTTATTTCTTTTTTCTAATCGATCGCATGGTCATAATAAATATATTTCCGCGACAAACTGCATTTCATCAGAAAGGAAAAAAGAAGAAAAAAAATTAATATATATTTAAAAATTAAAATTCAGCATTCACATCGGAGAAAATATAAATATTAGTGAGATAAAGCCGCTGATCTGACACTTTTTGACGTACCTGAATTTAATTCCCTGACGAGAGTCGACATTGCATTAGTAACGCTGTCGGCAGCTACCAACAAATCATTCCTTAAGGATCTTCCCAAGCTATTGTTCCCACTGCTCGATCCACTTCCGGGCAAACTGTTTGTCCTGAACGCAGACCTGACATCGAAAATCTCTATTTTCTTGGCGCAAAGCAAAAATAACTTTCAGCACAATCAGAACATAAAATAAAGGAAAAAAACCAAAAATTTCGTTCAGCATGCACTTTCTTTGTTTTTTTTATTACAAGCTCAAAAATAAAAATATTTTATCCATAAATCTCTACTGTACACATGACTAAAACAAGCGCACATTATAAGCTGTACACATTTTTTTTTAAATGTATAAATGTCGTCTCATTTCTATATACTTTTATTTCACACAAAAAATCATTCTCTTTTTCGCGCATTCTTTAAATACTTGTTTTTTTTCGTAATGCGGATTTTTCCGCGCTTAGGTGTCGATTTTTACTTATATTTTGTACTAAGATTGACTTGTCGTGAAATATCGAATTTTTAATACACATGAAATAAAATTCCCATTAAATAAGCTGGTGTAGTGGCAAAAAATGGAAATTTTAATTCTTGTCACTGTAATACCATGCTGAATGAATTTACAAATACAGACAAATTATTATTCATATTTATATATATATATAATTACAATTAAATCGTATAATCATTTCGATTTATATTTATTTCAAATTGTAACATTCTACAAAGTGATAAGATCACTTTTTTTGTTTGAAATGTGTTAAAAATAATGGACGGAATGTAAAGTTAAGTAAATTGGTCTAATTTTAAAAATATCAACTTAATTATATGAAAAAAATGCGAAATATAACTTAAGGGGGCTACACCACTTGTAACTTTCGAAAAATCAAATTTTTTTCAATTTTTTAAAATTGTCTTCAAAAGACTTATAGACACCCATCATCTAAAATTTTCATTTTTTAAATTGAAGCTCTGGACATCTAGTTTTAGGGACTAAACAAGATTTTTAAAAAAAATTTCATGATTTTTTAAAAATAAATTAAAAATAAGAATAAAAAATAAATTTAAAAATTAAAAATAAATTAGAAATTAAAAAATAAAAATAAATTAAAAAATAATTTAAAATATAAAAGAAGGCCTTTTTTCAAATTGCAACTGCTGTAACCCCCCCCCCCCCTTCCCCCCTCTTAAGATGAATAATTAGGGATAAAATAATCAGGAGTTGTTTATAATCAAAAGTAAATGAAACATTCTATTTGTATTTTTATGTGATTTTTAGTGCTTTTAATAATATACCTAAATTTAAGAAGTTGGGAGAAATCAGGATTTTTCAAAAATAGATTTATATTTTATTGCCCTTTCTGAAAGAATACATCGAAAATATTCTCTGAAAATTAATATAGTCAAATTTTCTTACTTAAGGCTATGTCCAAGTTGTGAAATGTAAACAAACCAAAAGGTTACTACACCAGCACTAAAATCGCAATTTTGCGACAGCCAATTCTCCCACAAAAAATAACATTTTTACACTTTCTTTACGAAAATGGAAAATTAGAGTATCAAAGTTTCCAAAAAAATCATTTTTGAATATAAGCAATAAAAAGCAATTAGTAAAATAACTAATTGAAATGAGCTGTAAAATGGCATTTTTGACGCGTCGCGAAAAATAAACTGTTTGAGTATATCAACCGCACTGACGATGAAGAAGTCTCATGTCAGCGATTGGACCTTCAACATGTGGAAAGGGAAATTTTTCCCTTTCCTCCTTGAAATTACAAGAGAAAGGGTAAAAACTTCTTCATCGTCCGTGCGGTTGATATAGTCAAACAGTTTAATTTTTCGCGACGTGAACTCTGTTGCTCGCTGCGCGTGCGCAGACCGTACCAAGGTCGCAATGACATTGCCATGCAAAAAGGCACATTTTTTTTTGACTGAATCTCAGTGGTTTTCTCATTTTTTTCAGCTATGCAAGGTGTAGTTACCAAATTCGATACTTTAGTTCGCCATTTCCATAAAGAAAATATGAATTTATATTTATTTACGGAAATGGGAACGGCGAAAAAATGCTTCACTATTCGGTCTATAATGAAGCATTTTTTCGCTGTTCCCATTTGCGTAAATAAATATAAATTCACATTTTCTTTATGGAAATGGCGAACTAAAGTATCGAATTTGGTAACTACACCTTGCATAGCTGAAAAAATGAGAAAACCACTGAGTATCATTCAAAACCAAAACTAAGAATGCATTGACAGCACCATGCGAAAATGCACATTTTGTTTTCTACTGAAACTTAGTTATTTTCTCATTTTTTTCAGCTATGCAAGGTGTAGTTACCAAATTTGATACTTTAGTTCGCCATTTCCATAAAGAAAATGTGAATTTATATTTATTTACGCAAATGGGAACAGCGAAAAAATGCCCTATTATAGACCGAATAGTGAAGCATTTTTTCGCGGTTCCCATTTGCGTAAATAAATATAAATTCACATTTTCTTTATGGAAATGGCGAACTAAAGTATCGAATTGGGTAACTAAACTTTGAATAACTGAAAAAATGAGAAAACCACTGAGATTCAGTCAAAAAAAAAATGTGCCTTTTTGCATGGCAATGTCATTGCGACCTTGGTACGGTCTGCGCACGCGCAGCGAGCAACAGAGTTCACGTCGCGAAAAATTAAACTGTTTGACTATATCAACCGCACGGACGATGAAGAAGTTTTTACCCTTTCTCTTGTAATTTCAAGGAGGAAAGGGAAAAATTTCCCTTTCCACATGTTGAAGGTCCAATCGCTGACATGAGACTTCTTCATCGTCAGTGCGGTTGATATACTCAAACAGTTTATTTTTCGCGACGCGTCAAAAATGCCATTTTACAGCTCATTTCAATTAGTTATTTTACTAATTGCTTTTTATTGCTTATATTCAAAAATGATTTTTTTGGAAACTTTGATACTCTAATTTTCCATTTTCGTAAAGAAAGTGTAAAAATGTTATTTTTTGTGGGAGAATTGGCTGTCGCAAAATTGCGTTTTTAGTGCTGGTGTAGTAACCTTTTAGTTTGTTTACATTTCACAACTTGTACATAGCCTTAATTGGCTTTAGATAATTCAGTAAAAATTTGTGCTTTAAAAGTATTTCTTTTTGAAATTTAATAAAAATTCTTCACTTTTTTAAAAAAATATAATTTTTCTAACAGATTTTCAGTAAAGAAAAAAATTGAATTCTTTAGTGAAATTTTTTTGAAAATAATTGAATTTTTCCAATGAATTTTCCTATTTATAAATGTATAATTGAATTGTTTTTAAGAATTTATTAAAATTTTCAGAAAATAATTAAATTTTTTTGAAAAATGTTATTAAAAATTAAAAATAATTGAATTTTTGCAAAGAATTTTACAATTTATATATATAATTGAATTTTTTTTGAAGAATTTATTAAAATTTATGAAAACAATTGAATTTTTGCAAATATTTTATAACGAATTAAGAAAAAAATAGAATTCTTCGTGAAATATTTTTGAATATAATTAAATTTTCCTAATTATAAATATAATTGAATTGTTTTGAAGGATTTATTAAAATTATAGAAAATAATTGAATTTTTTCGAAAAATATTATTAAAATTTTTTAAAAACTTGAATTTTTCCATTGTATTAAAAATAATTAAATTTTTGCAATGAATTTTCCTATTTATAAATATAATTGAATTGTTTCGAAAGATTTATTAAAATTTTAGAAAATAATTGAATTTTTGCAAATAATTTTACTATTTATAAATATAATTGAATTATTTTGAAAAATTTAATAAAATTTTAGAAGATAATTGAATTTTTCGAACAATATTATTAGAAATTATAAAAAAAAATTGAATTCTTTAATGAAATGTTATTAAAATTGTATTAAAAAAAATTTAATTTTTGCAAAGAATTTTACTATTTAAAAATATAATTGAATTTTTTGAAGAATTTATTAAAACTTTCGATAATAATTAAATTATATTGAAATTTTTTATAACGAATTAAAAAAAAATTGAATTCTCTAATGAAATTGTTTTGAATATAATTGAATTTTCCTATTTATAAATATAATTCAATTTTTTTAAAGCATTTATTAAAATTTTAGAAAATAATTGAATATGTTTGAAAAATATTATTAAAAATTAAAAAAAATTAAATTTTTGCAATGAATTTTACTATTTATAAATATAATTGAATTTTTTTTGAAGAATTTATTAAAATCTTTAAATAATAATTGAATTCTATTGAGATTTTTTATAACGAATTAAGAAAAAATTGAATTCTCTCGTAAAATTGTTTTGAATGTAATTGAATTTTTGCAAAGAATGTTATTATTTATATAAATAAAATTGAATTGTTCGAAGTTTTAGAAAATAATTGAATTTTTGCAATGATTTTATAATGAATTAAGAAAAAAATTGAATTATTTCGTATTTATTTGAATATAATTGAATTTTTGCAAAGAATTTTAATATTTATAAATAAAATTGAATCGTTTCGAAGGATTTATTGAAATTTTCAAAAATAATTCAATTTTTTCGAAAGTTATTATTAAAATTTTTTTAAAAATCCAATTCTTTCTTGAAATGTTATTAAAATTGTATTAGAAATAATTGAATTTTCGCAGAAAATTTTACTATTTATAAAAAATACAATTGAATTGTTCGAAGGCTTTATTTTGAAATTTTATAAAATAATTGAATTTTTCCAAAGATTTGATATAGAATTAAGAAAAAAATTGAATTCTTTCGGGTCAATTTGTTGAAAATAATTGAATTTTTACAAAGATTTTACTATTTAAAAAAATAATTGAATTTTTGCAAGTAATTTTATTATTTGTAAATGAAATTGAATTTCAAAATTTTAGAAAATAATTAAATTTTTGCCATGATTTTATAATGAATAAATGAAATTGAATTGTTCGAAGGATTTATTAAAATTTTAGAAAATAATTGAATTTTTGCAAGTAATTTTACTATTTGTAAATAAAATTGAATTGTTCGAACGATTTATTTTGAAATTTTATAAAATAGTTGAATTTTTCCAAAGAATTTATATGGAATTAAGGAAAAATTGAATTTTGTTAAAATTTAGAAAATAATTTTATTCGTTTTTGAACTTTTATTAAAACTGTGTTTAAAAATAATTGAATTTTTGCAAAAATTTTACTATTTATAAAAATAATTGAATTCTTCCGAAAAATGTTATTACTTATGAAAATAATTGAATTCTTGCGAAGAATTTTATTAACATTGTTGAAATTTATCAACAAGAATAATTGATTAGTAAATTAGTTAATAATTGAATTTTTAAAAGTTTGAATCTGAAATTTTTTTAAAAATTCATAGGTATTTGAAAATAAAAAATTTTGTAATTTACATAATAATAAGAAATTGAATTATAAAAAAATTAACAGATCATAAAAAATTTATTGAAAATATTCATTCTTCCAAGCTCCTGTCTACTCCTAATCCCTTTAAAGCGCATCTTTTCATTTTGCAATTAATTTACATAAATTACTTTGACATAAAAAATTTGTAAATTATAAATAATAATTTCATTCTTTTTAGATTTTTGCAACTATGCAAAATATAAATTATAACTAAAATTAAATAAAATGTTCATGTTTTAAAATGTGTACAATTTGCAATATTCTCGAAATGATATTGACTTATTACAATAATATACTTTCATTAGCGATAAAATTAACAAATAAAAATAATTAAAAACCATTGCTTCAACTTAAATATTACAAAAAGCAAAGATTGTCTCTTTGCTTCGAAACATACAATAAAGAAATTTTTTTTATATCCACCGAATGAAATATATAATCGAATAAATTACAAAAAGTAATATTAATAATAAAAATAATAGTTACAACGAAAATGAATTGAGCAAATTTCGAAATCAATAGATAATAAAACTATAATAAAAATTTGAAATTTAACAAAAACATTTTTCTTCGCTAAGTTTCGATATAAGCGAAAGCTGAAAATTTTTTTCTTCCAATAAGAGAGTATATTTAACAGAGCTACTCTTAAAAGAAAAAGAAAGTTTTTTTTTAAAATAATATAATTGAATATTTCGTAATGTTAAATTAAATTAAAATTGGTTAAACGTATTTTTTAAATTCTTATATACATTTTCTTAAATATTTTTAAAAAATTCTCTTTAAATATCTTTTTTATATTCTTTTTAAAATTCTGTTTTTAATTCTTTTTAAAATTCTTTTCTTAATTCTTTTTAAAATTCTTTTTTTAATTCTATTTTTATTTTTTTTTAAATCCCTTTCAAAATTATTTGTAAAATAGTTTAAAAATAACTTTTGTAAATTACTTTAAGACGTTAGAGGCCTTAAGATAAATAAGTTGTTAACAAGCGCAAGATTTGGAGAAGCGGCCCCCCACCACTTGGACGCAATTTTATTTTTAGATTCTACTCCCTTCCTTCAGGGCAGACCGCTTCTCCTATTCATGCGTGCTCGCTGATCTCTCATTTATTAAAAACCTTCTGGATTAGAAATTACCACCTTATAAAATTACTAAATTACTTGATAAAAATAATTAACATTACTTCTGAAAACGCTTTTTCTATTATTCTTTTTTCAATGTAACTGCGCAAATAAAAAGTACTAAAATAATAAGTGTCGAAAAATAATAAAAGTTGTTGATGTTTTTCATTTAAAAATAATTACTCGACGGTGATAAAGCAGCACACAACGATTACAATGTGAAAAATTACTATAAGCATTTTCGTCATGCTGTTTTTTTTCTATAAATTTGTGTTTTTATCAAAGAAATCATGCTCATTTTTTGTGAATATAATCGACGAATTGTCACATTGGTCAAAAGTCATAATAAAAATTTTGAAAGTGTGAAAGTAATTTTTACGATTATATTCTAATTTTTAATAATTATTTTAAGAATCTCTAGAATACTAAAAATGTAGTACTTTTCGGATTATAAAATTCTAGGATTTTTAGGAAAAAATAGGTAAAGAAATTCTATCTAGATGGTACATTATTTTTGATAATGTATTCTTAAAATGAATTTTTGATTTTAAAAATATTCCTATATAGTGTGATGGACTGTGGTTATTATTGATAAAGTTATCATATAGAAAGGGGACTCTAAAACTTTAGGTTTTACATGAAACCAAAATTGTGAAAAAATCAGTTTGCAGTATTAGATTCCTCATTACTTAGTTTTTTTAAAAAAAATTCAAGCTTCGCACTCGACCACAAAAAAAAACTCGTTTTAGACACGTCAAAAAACTGACAAAAATTTCATTCCATATTTTATATTTTTCTCACTTTTTCTTAATTTTCATCAACAAGGAAATTTAGTATTTATAAAAAAAGTCAAATTGTTTCGAAGAAATTAATAAAATTTTAGGAAATAATTGGATTTTATGGAAATATTTGAAAATATTATATATTATATAATATATATATATATTATATATATTATATATTATATATATATATATATAATATTATATATTATATATATTATATATATATAATATTATATATTATATATATTATATATATATTATATTATATATATATATATATTATATTATATATTTATTTGAAAATATTTGAATTCTGACGAGGAATTCAATTAAAATTGTTTTGAAAATAATTAAATTCATGCAAAAAGTTTTACTATTCATAAAAATAATTAAATTGAAATTTTATAACGAATTAAGAAAAAAATTTAATTCTCTCGTGAAATTTTATTGAAAATAATTGAATTTTTGCAAAGATTTTACTAAAATAATTGATTTGTTTAGAAGGATTTATTAAAATTTTAGAAAATAATTAAATAATTGAAGAAGTCTTGCGAACGATTTTATTAGAATTTTTTTTAAAGAATTGAATTTCTAAGAAGAAATTTATTACTTTTAAAAATAATTGAATTCTTCTGATGAAAATTTAACTAAATTGTATTTAAAATAATTGATTTCTTTCCAACAATTTTATTAAAATATTTAAAAATAATTGAATTCTTCCAAAGTATTTAAAAAAAACAATTTTTTTAAATAATTGATTTTTTCGAGGAATAGAAATTAAATTTTTAAGAATAATGACATTTTTTAAGCAATTCCTGTGAAATTGTATTAAAAATAATTGGAATCCTGCTATGAATTTTATTATTTATGAAAATAATTGAATAATGCAAAGAATTTCATTAAAGTTTTCAAAAAGAATTGAATTCCTGAGAATAATTTTATTATTTTTTGAAAATAATTGAATTATTGCGAAAAATATTATTAAAATGTTTAAAAAGAATTGAATTTCTGTGAAAAATTTGGTTATTTTTGAAAATAATTGAATTCCTAAAAAAAATTTTATTATTTATGAAAATAATTGAATTCTTGCGAACGATTTTATTGGAATTTTTTTTAAAGAATTGAATTTCCAAGAAGAAATTTATTACTTTTAAAAATAATTGAATTCTTCTGATGAATATTGCTATTTATGTATAAATAATTGAATTCTAGGGAAGAATTTTATTAAAATTGTATTTCTTTAATGTATTAAATTTCTTTCGAACATTATTTTATTAAAATATTGGAAAATAATTGAATTCCTGTGAAAAAATATAATATTTTTGTAAAATAATATAATTGAAATTTTCAATTAATTAATTTAAAATAGAATTAAAAGTAATTGAAATTCTTTGGTGAATTTTATTATTTATGAAAATAATTGAATTTTTGCTTAGAATTTTATTAAAAATTTGTTTAAAAAATGGAATTTCCATGAAAAATGTTATTATTAGTGAAAGTAATTGAAATTATTGTGAAGAATTGTATGAAAATTTTGTTAAATAATTCGAATTTTTTTTTTGAAAATGCTATTCTAAAATAATTGAATTCCTGTGGCAATTTTATTATTTATGAAAATAATTGAATTTTGAATGTTGTATTAATTTTTTTTTAAATAATTGAATTATTTTGCGAAATTTTATGAAAATACTAAATATTCAAAATAATTGAATTTCGAATATTTTTTTTAAATAATTGAATCGTTTTAAAGAATTTAATTATAATTTTTGAGAATAGTTTTTTGATTTCTAGTATTAGGGAATTTAAAGTAATGGAAATTCTAAGAAAAAAACAGAACTAGTAGCTTTTAGTGACTGAAATTTAAAAAAGTAACCAAATAGTAGCATAATGTAAAAAAGTAGTTATCACCACTTAACATATGGTTCATTTTTTCTAAATATTTTTGCTTTTCTAAAATTACTCAATTAAATTACCTTTAATCGGCATTAGCAATAAAAAGAATTTGGTTCTTATTTAAAAATTCTTTGGTTAACTTAATGTTTTTTGCAATAATTCTTTCAGTATCAGAAATATATTTCGGTTGTTTTATTTAATTAGAACTTAAGGTTAAAACTTTATGTCTAATTTCTTCTCTAAATTCTTTGGGAATAATTATGCCATTCTCTAGATCTTTTACAATATTAAAAATGTGCGAATTCTTTGAAGTTACAAAGGTCGTTGGCAACATTAAAATTTTTAATTGAAATGAACCAGCACTACACAATTTTTGGCAATATTTTTCAAAAACCTAAAGTGTATAGCTAAATATCTTTCGAAATAAAATTTTTTAAATTTTAGTGACCTGCACAAAAAATAAGTACAATATTTAGAGTCCTTTCACACTAATTAGCTTCCGAAGACTTTGTTTGGAAAATAGAGATAAATGGGTAAAGACTTTTGACCAAATGTGTTTCTAAATATTGATGAAATGAAACAGCTCGTATCTACTTGCTAAGCATTCGTCCCTCCCCTTTTTTTTAAATTTGACTATTATTATATGTATGTCTTTATCTCAGTTCGCAATACAATTTCCTTCACATGCCCTCCTACCTTACATCTCCTCCAACACAAGAGAGACTATCCGGTATAGGATTCTGTACCGTTCCTAGTATTGCGTTTCCAGACATATTGGCTACTGACGTTGTGGGCACTGGACTTTGGTAGCTTTGGGACATGGTGTGTTGATTCTGATGCTGCAGTGTCGAGAGTGGTCCACCAGGTGTTGGTGGTGCTGATCTGCTGCTGGGAATTGCACCCGGCGGTAGTGGCGGGGACTTTGTACTTCTCGGTGAACTATTTGGTGTTGATCTCGGCGACGCTTGGTGATTCTAAAAAGAAATTTAGTCTTACAATGAATTATAAATAAAATTATAAAATAAAAATTATAAATAAATTGATAACAAACCTTTAGCATTTTCATTAAGCCCTCGAGTTGTACCATAAGTTGCCGCCTGGAATCTTGAAGGGTTGCCAGATGACTTTCCAATTCGTCTTTTCTTTGTCTAAGAGCCCTTAATTCGGACATCAAAGCGGGATTTTCCAATCCAGCTGCCTCGATCTCTTGTTGTCTCCTGAGAAAGGAAATCCATCGTTACTCTGATTGTCAGTCAAGAATAGAAAAATAAACAACAAATTTCCAATTCCCAGATTTTATCAAAAATAAAGTCTACTTTCGGGACACAAAAATTTAATTCTGTTTTTCCCTGACTTTTCCCTCATTTTCAAACAAAATTTTCACTTTTTTCCTGACCATAAAAAATATTCTGATTCACTTCAAAAATTATTAGATACTCAAAAAAACATTCTATTACATTTGCTTACGAATTTCTTAAATTGAAAAATTATTCAAAAACATTTCATTTTTAAATAAATTTTTAATTATTAGTTTTTCGTGGGAATTAAGATTTTCAAAATTTCAAATTCAAACCTTTTGAAATTCAACAATATGTAAGAATATTTTTATAAAACATGAACTGATTAATGTTGATGACCGAGTGATAAAATCATTATTTTATATTATAAAAATATTGTTATTGTAACTTCTTCAAAATTATTTTCATAATTTCAATTCAATTATTATTTTCTACAATTTTTAAATAAAATTCCTCTTTAAATCAATTATTTTTAATAATTTTTGAAAAAACTTTTTCTTTGAGAATTTTTAAATCCATTTGTTTAAAATTGAATTGTACGTGAAATTACAATTATTCGAAAATTCTTCAATTCAATTATACGCATTGGAAAATAGAAACTTTAAAAAGGTAATTTAAAAAAATTTCGATTAAATTTATTGAAAAAAATTAATTCCATAGAATTTTTAATTAAAAGTATGAAAAATTCAAATTTTCAAAGATTTTAATTTGAAACCTTCACAAAATTTAATTATTTCTAAAAATTGCAATTATTAGTAACTTCTCCAAAATTCAATAATTATTAACTAAAACTTTAAGTGAAATTAATTTTTAAATCAAATTTTATTAGAAAATTCTACGAGAATCCAATTATTCAAATACAAACATAGATAATTTATTGAATAATTGAATGTTTCTTGGAATTAAATTCTTATACATAATTTCATCAATAAATTTTTAAATAATTGAATTCTTTCGACGAATTTTAATAAAATTTTTAAGAATAATTGCATTTTTCGATGAATTTAATTAAAATTCTATTAAAAATAATTGAAACTAAGATTTATTATCCCTCCCTAGGGGTTTCAAGACCTTGCCGTTGGTGGGAGGTGCACGAGGGGCTTTTACCCAGTGGGAGGCTACTTCTCGATATCTCTCGTGGGGACTGAGGGGGCGAACCCTTCAAAATGGGTCGGCCGCTACAGAAACCAAATCTTCTGTGTTTCGCTGGGCAGTGTCTCAGGGCACGGGGATTTAGAGGGATATCGAGAGAGACGGGATGGACAGAGGCTTAACCGCGGGTCCATTCTGAAGACTTCCTACTGGTGGAAGTCTGACCAAGAAGAAACCCTTCCATGGTTACGTTGGCTGTGCCATGGCGATTGAGGCGCGAGTCTCTGCCACCCAATCCGTGATGAACTCGTGTCCATGGATGAATGATACTAGGGTTAACAAATCCGTCGGGTCCTTCCGTGGTGGGGGGTTGGACGGGGGACGACCATCGCTGGGCATTACTTAGCTCTCGTAAAGTTCGGGAACGGTTGTGTTACAGGAGGGGCCCGTCCTCTGGGCGACCCGTCACCGTGGGGGGTCTCGAATGGAGGTATCTTAAACGAGACTCCGAGATACCGGGCGAACTCTCGGATGAATTTAGCCTTATCCTTGAATTAGAGGCTCTTCAAGGATGGACCTTTTATTTCCTCTTTTCTCGTGGGACCAAAAATGGATACTACTAATACAAATAATGAAAGCAGAAACGTCGAACATGCGAACACTGTAGAGCCCTCTTTGGGGGATCGCAATGCTGGTATGGGGACTACGCTTGGAGCAGGGGTAGGGACCACAAGGGACCAAACCTTGCAACAAGTGGATAGGGTGCAGCAACACTTGGGTAACCTTGACCTTGAGGGCAAGAGACTAAGTGGGGCTGCAAAAAGGAAGAAAAGGCGGGAGCAAGCTCGGGGCTCTTTGAGAACCGAACCGCATACCGCTGGCCCTTCTCGGAACACTACTGGAGAGGGGGGGAGGGCGTCGGGGTCCGGGCCGGGGAAAAGACGGCAGGACTCGGAGGAGGCTTCCCCTACCAATAGAATGCCGTCAAAGAAGTTAAGGGGCCCACAAGGGGGAACCTTATCGTTTGCGGAAATTACTAGATCGTCATTAGCCGGGGCGATCGTGGCGGAAGGCTATCCTAGGGTCCAGATGACGTTGGCTAATCTGGACCAATTAAGGGTAGCAATTCATGAGGAGATTGGGGGGGACGAAGTCGGACCCTATCCTCATTTCGGAGAAGTTCGCCTCACTAGGGGAGCGATCCTAGTAGAGTGCCTGGACTCAGAATCTAGGGAATGGCTAAATAGTCGTATACCTAGGTTCGGTCAGGCGTTAGGGGGCCTTGCCATCAAGGTGGCTGATCCGGCTGAGCTGATCAAGCTGGTAAGGGTTGTGGCGTGGGTACCCGGTCCTAGGGTGAACCAGGCTTCAATCCTTAAAAACCTCGGGAGACAAAATACCGGGGTGGATACATCCGCGTGGAGGGTGTATTCGGGAGGCGAGGGGAGAGCGGACCAAGCTGCGGCTGTGGGCTGGACTCTCGCGCTAGGAGTACCAGAGAGCGACATTGAAGCTCTCCAAGCCCGGCAGTTGAAACTGTGTTTTGGGCTAGGTCAAATCACTCTAAGAGTGGCGAGGCATGGTACGGACACAGCTGCTGGGCAGGGTACCCAGGGGGGGGAAGCGACTGAGGAGACCGTGAACCAGCCTTAAAATGGCTGCTTCCGGGATTCATTGTACGCAGATTAATTTGCATCATTGTAAGGGCGCTTCGGCGATTTTAGCCAAGAGCTTGACAAAGATGCAGACAGCTTTAGCCTTTATTCAAGAACCTTGGGTTTTCAAGGGGAGAATTAGAGGTCTGAACGGCTGTGGAGAGCTGGTTAGTTTACCACAGGAACCAGTTCCAAGGGCGTGTCTGATCTATAAAGGTCTAGACGCTTTCCCGCTTTTGGAATTAACTACTAGGGACTTAGCTGTAGTTAAAGCTAAGTATCTAGAAAAGAACGGAAATAAAAGGGAGGTGGTAATAGCGTCCGCTTACTTTCCGGGAATAGGGGATGAACCTGCACCACCAAGAGAGGTGGAGAGGTTGGTAGATTACTGCCAAAGGCGAGGGCTTCCTTTGTTAATAGGGTGTGATGCTAATGCGCACCATGTTGTTTGGGGTAGCACAGACATTAATGACAGAGGCAGAAGACTTTTGGATTTTCTGTTAGATACAGATTTAGATATTTTAAATCAGGGTAATGAGCCGACTTTTGTTACTGTCAACAGAAAAGAGGTGTTGGATATTACGATCTGTTCCAAGTCTTTAGGTGATGGCGTGAGGGACTGGAGGGTGTCTGATGAAGATTCCCTCTCGGACCACAGGCTTATTACGTTCAGGTTGGAATCGAAGGATCGGGAACAGGAGTGGGGACGTAATCCTAGGAGTACCGACTGGGCTTCATATAGTGAGGACCTCAGGGCCTCCATGGCGTGCTTCCCCACTTCTTATGGGACGAAGGAGGAGTTGGAACTTGCAGCGGAATATCTGCGAGATTCTATTATTTGTTCCTTTGAAAGGAACTGTGTAGTTAAGAAAATGGGCTTCAATGGGGGTGGCAAGTGGTGGACCCCCAGTTTGGAGGAACATAGGAAAATTGTAAGAAAGCTTTTTAATAAAGCTAAGAAACGTAAGCAACAGCGAGCTTGGGATGAATATCATACCGCTCGCGATTCTTACAAGAAAGAAGTAGAGAGGGCAAGGGGTGTCAGCTGGAGAACTTTTTGCGAGGGAATCGAGAGGGTACCAGAAGCTTCAAGACTTCATAAAGTACTAGCTCGAGACCCAATGGCAAAATTAACTACTATTAAGCTGCCTAATGGGCAGTATGCCCAGGATAAAAGGGAGTGTCTAAAGCACTTGATGGAGGTAAACTTCCCGGACTTTAGAGAAGGTTTGGAGAACAGCCATGGCATAGGACCAGGTAGGAACCGAGGATATCGGGAACACTGGAAACTAGCAGCCAGGGTTGTAACTTTGGAGGGGATTGATTGGGCAATAAGCACTTTCAAACCATTTAAGGCCTCAGGGGGGGACGGTATATATCCGGTTCTTTTGCAAAAGGGATTGGATTGTATTAGAGTACCCCTATGTAAGATTATGAGAGCATGTATAGCTCTTGGTTATACACCGGAATCTTGGAAAAAGACGAGGGTTGTGTTTATTCCGAAGGCCGGTCGGTCAGGGTATACTGCGGCGAAGGACTTCAGGCCAATCAGCCTAACCTCCTTTATTTTAAAGGCGTTAGAGAAACTGGTGGATAATTTTATTAGACAGGAATGTCTTAGAGATTTTCCCCTTCATCAGGGACAGCATGCGTATAGAGCAGGCTTCTCAGTAGAAACAGCCCTCCATTCAGCAGTAGGCAGAATAGAGGGACAAATTAGCAGTGGGGGCTATGCGGTTGGTACCTTTCTTGATATCGAAGGTGCCTTCCCTAACACCTCTAGTAAAGCTATCTGTAGGGCAGCCAGGATGCGGGGTGTGCCCGAGCCGCTGGTTAAGTGGATCGACAGCATGCTTCGCGAAAGGGCCCTGGAAGCGGAGTATGGTGAGGCTAAGGTAACAGGCCTGGTCTCAAAAGGGTGCCCACAGGGTGGAGTCCTTTCTCCTTTACTGTGGTGCTTGGTGGCAGATGAGTTAATTAGAAACCTCAATAGCCAGGGTTATTATACGCAAAGTTATGCGGATGATTTCCTTATAATTATAAGAGGGCAAGCAATCGAGACCCTCTTAGAACTTACGGAACGTGCACTTAAGATTGTGAGGGAGTGGTGCAATCTGACTGGACTTTCCGTAAACCCAGAGAAAACGAACATAGTAGTTTTCACAAGGAAATATAAGGTACCGAGTTTGAAGAAACCGATATTTTATGGTAAAGAGATTTCTTTTTCTGAATCGGCTAAGTATCTAGGAGTAATCCTGGATAAAAAGCTGGTTTGGAAGGAACATTTCGAATATCAGTATAGCAGGTTTTGTACCGCGTTCTGGGCGTGTAGAAGGGCGATAGGGTCATCCTGGGGACTAAGGCCTAATATGGTCAACTGGCTCTATCAGATGATCTTAAAACCAAGGTTTCTTCACGCGGTGGTTGTCTGGTGGTCTAGGACTCAACTGATAACGGTTAAAGAGAAACTAGGCCAACTGCAGGCAATGATTTTCAGGGGTATTACGGGGGCAATGAGAACCACGCCAACAGTTGCGTTGGGATTCATGCTTGCCGAGGTACCTCTGCATATTGCCGCGGTGAAAAAGGCGGCTCTTACTATGAGCAGGTTAACTGCGCAGGGAAGGTGGAGGGCTGGTGGTATACACACCAAGCTCCCACGCTCAATTCTATCAATACCAGAATTAAGTATGGTGCAAGATAGAATGATCAAGAGGGTGAAATTTAAACCCCGCTTTAAGATCATTACACCTTCCAGAATGGACTGGAAGAAAGGTTTTCCACTTGGGGACGAAGTCTGGTACACAGACGGCTCCAAGATGGATTGCGGTGCAGGCTTCGGAATTTATCGAAAAACTGGCTGCATTAAAGTAGCTGAGTCATTAGGACAACATGCCACGGTTTGGCAGGCAGAGGTCTGTGCGATTTTAACTTGTGCCCAAACATCCATCCGAAATGGAACAAAGGGCAAGAGGATTAGTATTTGTGTGGATAGTCAAGCGGCCTTAGGGGCTCTGAAAAATCCCACAATAGAATCAAAACTCGTCTGGGAATGCCGTAGCGTACTAGATGAGTTGGGTTCAGCAAATAGACTCTCATTGATTTGGGTACCGGGTCACTCGGGAATCAAGGGTAATGAAAGAGTAGACGTCTTGGCGAAAACAGGTTCCGAGACGAAATTTATAGGTCCTGAACCAGCACTGGCAATAATGCCATGCTTGGTTAAGGGAGCCATAGAAAGATGGGGTGAAAAGGAACATGAGAAGTATTGGGCGAACGTTGGGGTGGGAAGGCAAGCGAAAACTCTGTTGGGGTTAGCACTCAACAAGAGGCGAGCGAGCGATCTCCTAAAACTCGATAAGATCAGAGTTAGAACCGTAGTTCGTCTACTTACGGGTCATGGGCTATTGAACTACCATCAGCATAAAATAGGCAGACAAGTTTCACCTATGTGTAGACTGTGTGGGGAAAGTAATGAAACTTCGACTCACATATTATCGGTATGCCCAGCGCTAGCTAGGATTAGACTATCCAGCTGGGGTCAAGCAATTATTAACCCTAAGCAGGTGAGCAACCTATCGATAGAAGAGATACTGGACTTCTGGAGAAGAACAGGACTCTAAGAAGTTGCTATAAACGAGCGAGCTGGAGTCTGGTACAATGGGTTTTATAACCTAGGTGCTTACTTTCCCCTTTTGAGGAAAATCCAGCTCGATCTCGGTGTTAGATTAGATTAGATTAGATTAGATTAGATTAGAAGATTTATTATTTATGAAAGTAATTTAATTATTGACAAGAATTTTATTACAAAAATTTTTAATTTTCAATAGTTGAATTTTATCGAAAAATTGTAATACAATTTTTAAGAATAATTTAAAAAAATAAATATTTGCGTATAGAATTTTATGAACAATTTTTTAATATAATTGAATTCATTTGCGAAATTTTATTAAAACTTAGTTGAAACATTAAAAATCATTAAACTGAGAAAAATAATTAAAATTTTTGAAAATAATTGAATTTTAAAACAATTTTTTAAAAATAATTAAATTTCATCGAACAATTTTATTACTTTTTTTTAAAGTAATTAAATTCTTGTGTTGAAAATTGTTATTTATAAAAATAATTGAATTTTACAATACAAAAAATTTTATTAAAATTCCTGTGACTCAATGAATTTCTGAAAACAATTCAAATATAGGTATATTTATCAAAATAATAGAATTCTTTCAAAGAAATAATTCAAAATTTATGAGGAATTCGATTAAAATTGTATATAAAAAATAATTGAAATTCTGCTATGAGTTTTACTATTTATAAAAATAATTAAATTATTGGGAAGAATTTTATAAAAAAGTTCCAAACTAAGTTCCAATTAATTTTTTTTAATTTATGCAAATTCTATTTTTAATAATTCAATTCCTGTGAAATTTTTATTATTTTAGAAAAATAATTAATAATCGTGTAGAACTTTATAAAAATTGTTTTTAAATAATTGAATTCTTTTGTGAAATTTTATTAAAATAGTAGAATATTAAAAATCATTGAATTAAGAAAAATTTTTAAAAATAATTAAAATTTTGCTATGAATTTTATTAAATTTTTTAAAAATAATTGAATTCTTGTGATGAATTTTATTAAAATTCCTGAAAATAATTGAATTTTATCGAAAAAAAATTTCTATTCATTTATAAAGATAATTGAAATGTTGAAAACGATTTTTTTTATATTCTTTTGAAAATAATTGAATTTCTGCGAAGAATTTTATTAATTTTGAAAAAAATTGAATTCTTGTATTGAATATTGTTTTTTATGAAAAATAATTAAATTTTACAATGAATTTAATAAAAATTCCTGAATATAATTGTATTTTATATTACGATATTATTGTGTTTGGATTTTTAATAATATTATTGTGATCTTATTTATTTGTCAAAATTTTTGTTTAATAATTGAATTCTTTTTGGGGAATTTTATTAAAATTTTTGAAAATAATTGAATTTTTGTGATGAATATTATTATTTAAGAAAATAATTGAATTTTGGAATGAATTTTATTAAAATTCCTGAAAATAATTGAATTTTGTCGAAAAATTTTGCTATTAATTTAGAAAGATAATTTAAATGTTGACCATTTTTTTTAGATTTTTTGTAAATAATTGAATTTCTGCGAAGAATTTTATTAATTTAAAAAATAATTGAATTCTTGTGATGAGAATTGTTACTTATGAAAATAATTGAATTTTACAATGAATTTTATAAAAATTTCTGAATGTAATTGAATTTCGGCGAAGAATTTTGCTGTCTAGAAAGATAATTGAAATGTTGACAAGAATTTTTAAAAAAAAATCTTTGAAAATAATTGAATTTCTGGAAAGAATTTTAATATTTATTAAGATAGTTGAATTCTTTCAAAGAATTGCGTTAAAATGTTTAAAATTGAAACTAATTTCAACAGAAATGAAATTAACATTTTTCAAAAAAATACTTCATTAAATGATTTATAAGTAATAACTTTATAGCAGTTCTTGAAGAATTAATTTATTTAAAAATTATTGTCAGAAAAAATTTAAGGTATTTTTTAGAATTTTTGGTAATTTCATACTTTATAAGGCAAAAAAAAAGACACTTCTTACTTTCGCTGACTTTTCCCTGAATTCTCTGATTTCCCTATAGGATAAATTGTTATAGTGATTGCTAAAAGTAGTGGGCAATGTAACGATCATGAAAAAAGTATTTATCTTGAAGTCATAAAAAAAATTGTTAAGAAACCTCAAGATTTGAAAGATCAAAAAATGTTTGAGTAACAAGAACTAATTCCCGGAGTTGGATGAATTTGTTGTCCTTTTTCTAAAACATCGCGATTATCATGATTTCTTAACAATGTGTCTGATTGATGTATATGGTGTTGTATTAGTAAAGCATTAGTCTGAAAACTACTTCACTGTGGGTGTTTGCAAATTTCTCTGTAGTGTCTTAATTTCTATTATCTATGCAATATTATCATCTATGCAACCAAGGATACATAAAGCCGAACTGAAAGTTTTTTATAACATGCGTGATTCTAGGATGGTACGATGGGATGATAACGAGGTTGAGGCTCGATATAGTGGAAATTAAACGACACAGGTATACCTTAACCTTGCAATCTCTCGCATTATTTCCTTGTTTTTCGCCTCTAATTGAGAGATCAATTCCCTTTGCGCTCTCGATGTTTCCAATGAGGAAAGATTTGCGTCCGACGGTGCTCGTCCTTGCTGAAGAAATATCAACCAATTCAAAAATCATTCAAAACTCATTCAAAAATCATTCAAAATGATTCAAAAATCATTCAAAACTCATTCAAAAATAAAAAAAAATAAATAAATAAAAAATAAAGTAAACACATAATAAAATAAACACATTTGAAATTGTACTCACCATTTGATCCACTTGTGACATTCTGGAAGCGGCACGAGGCTGTGAAGAGAATATAAATACATTAAGCGAGTTAATTGAATTAGAAGGATAAATTAAACTGTTCCCCTTTCTTTTCGGGGAAGTAGGGGGAATTCCTGTTAAAACAGAATTATGTTTATGTTAAACGACTTACAACAGTTCGTGCCTCTTGCGCCAATCGTTGGGCATATCTGGCTATTAATTTATGTTCGTCGTCCATTCTTGAACTATCCATGCTGATCAAAAAATTAGATTTATTGTTATAATACTTCTAATAGCAAAATTAAATAGTTTTCTTATAGATTTCTTTAAAATTACCTTCTTAATGTGGAACGACTGTCCATCGAACCGGCGTCGAAAGGCGCCATGAATCCTGAATCCGGAAATCCGTTATGAGATGGTAGTGGAGAAGGCGGTCTGTGAAATTCGCAAATTACGAATTTATTACTAACTTGTACAAATACGGTGGCCGAACCCGAACTCAACATTACTTATTTTTTAATTATACAGGGCTCGGATCGTCTTTAAGACTAAAAAAAATCGCTTTAGTCGCATAAATTTACAACAAAAGTCACGAAAAGTCGCATAAAATTTTCGAAAAAGTCGAAAAAAAGTCGCATGAAATCTTAGAAAAAAACGACAAGAAGAAAACACAAAATTGTAAAAAAATCACATTTCTCGACAACAGATACATTAATATCAAACAATCCGGAATAAAATTTAAATTTAAAAAATATAATAAAATTCATAGCAAAATTTTAATTAGGTATTTTTAACAATTTTTTTTAAAAACTCTCTTTAAAATGTCAATTATTTTTATAAATAATAAAATTCTTCTCCGAAATTCAATTATTTAAAAAAAATTTTAATAAAATTCATCATAAAAATTTCATTATTTTCAAAAGTTCTGATAAAATTCTTTGCAAAATTCAATTATCTTCAAAAGTACGAAAATTTTTTAAAGAAATTCAATTATGTTTATAAATATCAAAATTCTTCTGCAAAATTCAATTATTAAAAAAAAAAATCTGTTAAAAATTTCAATTATCTTTGTGAATGATAAAATTCTTCTCTAAAATTCAATTATTTGCAAATAAAAGAATTTTAATAAAATTCTTGTCAAAATTTCAATCATCTTTATAAATAATAAAAATTTATTCTAGAAATTCAATTATTTTCAAAAGTAATAAAATTCTTCGCAGAAATTTAATTATTTTCAAAAGTTCTGCCAAAATCCTTTGCAAAATTCAATTATCTTCAGAAGTAAGAAAATTCTTGGCAGAAATTAAATTATTTTCAAAAAATTTTTTTAAATTCTCCTCAAAATTTCAATTTTTTTTATAAATATCAAAATTTTTCTGCTATAATTCAATTACTTTGAAACATTTTTAAAAAAATCTGTTCAAAATTTCAATTATCTTTGAGAGTAATAAAATTCTTCTCTAAAATTCAATTATTTGCAAAAATTTTAATAAAATTCTTGTCAAAATTTAAATTATCTTTATAAATAATAAAATTCATCCTAGAAATTCATTTTTTTAAAATCTTTTTTTAAATTTCTCGTCAAAATTTTAATTATTTTCATAAATAATAAAATGCATCCTGGAAATTTAATTATTTTTAAAAGTTCTGCCAAAATTCTTTGCATAATTCAAATATCTTCAAAAGTAAAAAAATTCTTGGCAGAAATTAAATTATTTTCAAAAATTTTTTTTAAATTCTCCTCAAAATTTCAATTATCTTTGTAAATATTAAAATTCTTCTGCAAAATTCAATTACTTACTAATTTTTTATAAATTTCTTCCCAATAATTAATTTATTTTCATAAAAAATTATTAAAAATTTTCTTTTTATAAAGTCTTATAATATAAAATAATGATTTTAACACTCGATCCTCTTTAAATTATAAAACATGAAGACATCGATCGCTCCGAGTCGAAGACTCGGACTGATCGATGTCTTCATGTTTTATAACAATTTTTTATAAGTTGTTTAATTTCAAAAAGGTTTGAATTCGAATCTTTTGAAGAATTTTAATTCCTATGGAAAAATAATAATTAAATATTTATTTAAAAAAGAAGTTATTGATTTTTTCGAAAAATTTGAAAGAAATTTGCAAATAAATGTAACAGAACATTTTTTTGACTCAAATTTTTTCCTTTAAATTTAAAAAAAAAAATTTTAATTTCAGTCGTATTTTACTAAAAAAAAATTTCGAAAAAGTCGATTAGTCGCATTTTTTCACAAAAAAGTTGAAAAAAAAGATAAAGTCGGACAATCCGTGCCCTGTTATACAGAATTGAGTCAAAATTTCTGAACTGGGCCACCTAAAACAAACTTTTTAAATTTGCAATATTTCTAGATACATAATTTGTTACAGCCGGATGGTACAAAAACATTCCTAAAATTTATGCAAAATAAATTGTTAATTAATTAAATAATTAAAGTTTCAAGTGATTTTTGGAAAAGTTACGAAAAAATTCAAAAACCACAAAAATCTGTAATTATAATCTAAAGTTGAAATCCATTTTTCAATCAATGTTTATGAGAAAATTCTACTTGGATTCAATTATTTAAATACAAAAATAACAATTTATTGAATAATTGTATGTTTAATTGAATTCTCATAATTTTATCTATAAATTTTTAAATAATTGAATTCTTTTGACGAATTTTAATAAAATTTTTAAGATTTTTTTCAAGGAATTCGATTAAAATTGTATTAAAAATAATTGAAATTCTGCAATGAATTTTATTATTTATGAAAATAATTGAATTCCCGTAAAATTTTATTATTTATGAAAAATAATAATTGAATGATTGAGAAGAAATTTATAAAAAAAATTTGTAAATAATTAAATTCCTGTAAAATTTTTATTACTTTTTGAAAATAATTAAAAGTTTGTGCAGAATTTTATTAAATTTTTTGTAAAAGAATTGAATTAAGGAAAATTTTTGAAAATAATTGCATTTCGGAGAAGAATTTAATTATTTCTAAAGATAATTGAAATTTTGATGAGAATTTAAAAAAAATTTTTGAACATAATTGAATTTCTTCGAAGAATTTTATTTCTTTTAAAAATAATTGAATTTCTGTAATCATTTGTAATTTTTCTAAAATTTTCCATATTGTACAATCTACGAACTTTTCATCCTTTTTGAATTAAATTACGGACTTTACGGTCCTTTTTTCAAAAAACGGACTTTTACGGACTTGAGGCAAATTTACGGACCTAGTTCGAGCCCTGAATTATTATGGAAGTACGAATTTATTATTAACAGTAAGTGGTCAGTCACTTACACAATGTGTGATAAATCCAAAGTTTTCTCCGGCTGTTCCGGAAACCTGGGTATGTGATTCTTTCCCTTTTCGGGAACACATCGAAAGCTCTTTCTTAAAGAATGTCCGATCTGTTTACTCGGCGACTTCTAAGGGAAGAAAAACTCATTATCACTTCATTTAGAGACAAAAATTTTTGGCCAAAGAAACAAAGCATAATCAACTTACAAAACTACTGTACTCCCTTGTGTCATGATCATTATTGTGAGTACCCGAGACTTTTCCCCGCCAAAAGCAATCCTGACAGAGTTGATACGAATGACACTTTTGACACCGGTACCTAAAGCCGGTAAAATTTTCCTTGTGACATGCGTCACACATGGTTGGATGAGTCACTGAAATAATCAATTTTTTTTATTATTTTCATTATTTACCAAATAATTTTTTTGTTAAAAAAAGTCAACCGGCAAATTTATAACAATTGAAAAAATCTTTTTACAAACGTACCCGATTCAACGGCAGCGACTCGATGATAAAGTGGGAGCCAAATTAAACAATGAGGTCCTGGATCGCACATCAGTGTATCCAAGAAATCATTGACAGTGACTTTTGTATTCTGAAAGAAACAGCGATAGGTAAAAATTTATCAATTGTATCATAATCGTGGAAGAGAAAATAATATAAAAAGTATTATTTTTAATGTAAAAATAATTGATATTCACCGAAAGAAAAATCGAACTCGCTAATGATTCGGAATAACCAAAAGATGGCGATTCGTAAACGGCTGCCGGCAATGCTAAAACTTCTCTCAAATATTCATCGAATCTCCAGTGGATCATGTGACCGTTGCTGTCCGATATTTGTGAATAGATATCTAAAAATAAAAATTCGTATAAGAATCAATCTAAATAGTAAATAATCTAAGTATCATCTAAATCATCTAAATACATAAATAGAAAACTTACATCGAAATTTGTCCATCAATTTGCCGGCACATAGTGTTGCAAGTGCCACTTTGACGGAAAATACCGAAATTTTGTTGCCCTCTCTAAAAAAAGTGGAAAAAACTTTAAAGTTTTGAAAATATTTTTGTTATTATTCAGCACAAACTGTCCAGATAGCATTGCAATTTAGGACTATATCTAACTTTATTTTTATAAAATCAATCCGTAAAGATTTAATTTAAGATAATTGAACTAAATTCTTAAAAACATTTTCTACAGTTTTAGAAGACAAGATGTGCACTGCGGTCAATAATTTATATTAACTCGAGTGTATTTTAAAATTTCTTGTCAGAATAATTATTACGAACACTTTATAATAAGAACAAAAAATATATCCCAAAAAGCCTGGAGGTCTATAGGGGAGAGTGGGGCAAAGGTGCTATGCGGGGCAAAGACTTTTTTTAAAATATCTCCTTTATTTTCTGTCTATTCCAATTGGTATTAAAAATTAAGTTGCAATGCAATCAGACTAATTGATTAAAAAAAGAAAAACCTAAAAATATCAAATATTTTAAGAAATATAACAAAAAAATTGTTTTGCAAAAATAAAATGATAATTTTGCTGAACAAACTTTTATTTTTTAAAACATAAGTTTAAGTATTTAATTTTTCAAAACAGTTTCCAACAGTTTTACTGATGAATAATTTAATACGAATAGTCTGTAATGTACAGCTATTAAACTCTGTAATAATACCATTATTATTTCCGCATATTGCTCACCATCGATTAAGATAAGCACCAGAGAGTTAGATTTAACATTCAATTTATGTAATTAGATGTTACTATATGGGAACTTAAATGACAAAAACTAAGCCTGGAATTGTCAAGTCGGTAATCAAAATAGTAGAAAAAAGCATTTTATTATTTATGAAAATAATTGAATTCTTGCGAACGATTTTATTAGAATTTTTAAAAATAATTGAATTTAAAAAAAAAAATATTACTTTTAAAAATAATTGAATTCTTGTGCTGAATATTGTTGCTTACGAAAATAATTGAATTTCCCAAAGAATTTTATTAAAATGACTTAAAATAATTTAATATTCGAGAATGATTTTGTTATTTATCGACATAATTGAATTCTTTATAAGAATTACTTGTGAAAATAATCGAATTCTTGGGAAGAATTTTATTAAAATCTAAAAGAATAATTGAATTATTTAAAAAAAAAATTGAATTAAAATTTTATTAAAATGATTGATTTCTTTCGAACAATTTATTAAAATATTTGAAAATAATTGAATTCCTGAGAAACTTTTATTATTCATGAAAAGAATTGAATTCTTACGAAGATTTTCAAACAAAAATTTTAAATAATTGAATTCTGTTTGGAAATTTTATGAAAATATTAAATATTAAAAATCATTTAATTGCGAAAAGTTTTTAAAAATAATTAAATTTTACAAAGAATTCTATTAAAATTTTTGACGTAAATAATTGAATACTGGGAAAGAATTTAATTAAAATCTAAAAGAATAATTGAATTATTTCAAAAAAATTTAATTAAAATTGTATTTAAAATAATTTGAATTCCTGTGGAAAATTCTAATATTTTCGTAAATAATTGAATTCTTCCAAAGAATTTAAAAAAAAAATTTTTTTTAAATAATTGATTTTTTCGAGGAAGTGAAATTAAATTTTTAAGAATAATTACATTTTTTGAGCAATATTCCTGTAAAATTGTATTTAAAATAATTGAAATCCTGCAATGAATTTTATTATTTTTGAAAATAATTGAATAGTTGCTAAGAATTTTATAAAAATTTTTAATAATAATTGAATTCCTGAAAAGAATTTTATTATTTATGAAAATAATTGAATTATTGCGGAAAATTTTATTAAAATGTTTAAAAAGAACTGAACTTCTGTGAAAAATTTAGTTATTTTTAAAAATAAATTGAATTCTTCATAAGAATTTTATAAACATTGTTTTATATAATAATTAATGTTTTCGAAATATAATAAATATTATGAAAATTTTATTTTAAATAATTGAATTCTTGTGGAAAACTTTATTCGTGAAAATAATTGAATTTTTCAATTAATTAATTTAAAATAGTATAAAAAATAATTGAAATTCTTCGATGAGTTTTATTATTTATGAAAGAAATTGAATTTTGCAAAGAATTTTCTTAAAATACCCCAAAATAATTGAATTTTCGGTAATAATTTTGTCATTTATCGACATAATTGAAGTTTTACGAAAAATTATTTATGTAAATAATTTAATTCTTGGGAAGAATGCTATTAAAATTTTTGAGAATAATTGAATTCCTTAAAAGCATTTTATTATTTCTGGAAATAATTGAATTCTTGCTAACGATTTTATTGGAATTTTTTAAAATAATTGAATTTCCAAGAAGAAATTTATTACTTTTAAAAAGAATTGAATTCTTGTGATTAATATTGTTATTTATGTAAATAATTGATTTCTTGGGAAGAATTGTATTTCTTTAATGTATTAAAATTCTTTCAAACAATTTTATTAAAATATTTGAAAATAATTGAATTTCTGTAAAAAATTTTGATACTTTTGTAAATAATTGATTTCTTACAAAGAATAAAAAAAAACATTTTTTTTTTTAATAATTGATTTTTTCGAGGAATTGAAATTAAGTTTTTAAGAATTATTACAATTTTTTTTTGCAATTCTTGTGAAATTGTATTAAAAATAATTGAAATCCTGCTATGAATTTTATTATTTATGAAAATAATTGAATTATTGCGAAAAATTTTATTAAAATGTTTAAAAAGAATTGAATGTCTGTGAAAAATTTGGTTATTTTTGAAAATAATTGAATTCTTGCGTAAAACTTTATTTGTAAAAGTAATTGAATTTTTCAATTAATTAATTTCAAATAGTATTAAAAATAATTGAAATTCTTCGATGAGTTTTATTATTTATGAGAATAATTGAATTCTTACTTAGAATTTTATCAAAAATTTTTTTAAAAATTTGAATTTCCATGAAAAATGTTATTATTAGTGAAAGTAATTGAATTATTGTGAAGAATTGTATAAAATTTTTTTTTAAATTTGAATTTCTATGAAAAATGTTATTACTAATGAAAGTAATTGAATTATTGTGAAGAATTGTATAAAAATTTTGTTAAATAATTGATTTTTTCGAAATTTTTATGAAAATTATATTCAAAATTAATTTAATTCCTGTGGAAATTTTATTATTTAAAAAAAAAATTGAATTTTGGATCAATTTTATTAATTTTTTTAAAATAATTGAATTCTTTTCCGAAATTTTATGCAAATACTAGATATTTAAAATAATTGAATTTGCGAATATTTTTTTTGAAAATATATTTTTTTTGAAAATAATTAAATCGTTTCAAAGTATTTGATTATAATTTTTGAGAATAGTATTTTGATTTCTAGTATTAGCGATTTTAAAGTAGTGGAAATTCTCAAAAAAAAAACATAAATAGTAGCTTTTAGTTAATTAAACAATTAATTGGAAACTTGGAGCGAAAAATATCAATTTTTCGAGCAACTTCTTGCAAGAGTTTAAATTGAAATTTGAACTCCCATGAGTTCTAAAGTTTCATTAATGAACTGATCCTCAAATGGTTAAACATATATTCTAACAAGGTATCATGCTATCTGGACAGTTAATACCAATTATAAAGAATATTATTCTCCGTATAAAGAACAGTATTCATGTAAAAATAAAAATGTAGGTGTTAAAATTGCCATACAAAGAAAATGTATAAAGAAGGAAAAGAAAAAAGATATCCCTACCCACTGTACGCCGCTATCAGCCAATTCATAAGTAAGGCCGTTGTTGTGTCAACTTTAGCTTGTTGTGCAACTGGAACTCTTTTATTTAAAGCATGAAATAAGGAAGACAAAAGTGTTTCAAGTCTTGATACACCAAGTGAACTCGACGGCTCCAACGTATTGAGACCATTTTCCCTGAATGCCTCAATCACATTCCAAATGTCAACATTATGCACTGGAAATTCAAAATTACAAAAAATTAAAAATCATACAATAAATTTCTATTTTTTTGGTAAAATAACTTTTTTTTATATCTCTAAATTCTAATTGGTGTTAATTAAAAACCCATTCATGAAGAAATATATGTATTTTAGCTTGTTAACAAAAAATAGTTCTCGAGAACGAAGTATGCTGTTGACCCCACTGGTACTCTTTAAATTGAAGAGATACACGTCAGAAGAGAAAAAAAAAATTACAAACAATTGGCGAGTGCCATCTGGCACAGAATATTATTGGGTCAGAATATTTTTTATATCCAATTCTGCTTTTTAAGAGGAATGCAACTACTTTGGAATTTAATTCTTTTCTTTATTGCAGTATTTTTTGAAACCTAAAAAGAAAACTAAAAAGTATGTAATTATATTGGATCAAGATTTTATTGTTTGTTTTTTGTTAATAAGAAATCATTTTTTCAAGAAAATTTGTTTTCTATTAAAGCATTAAAGTTCTATTAAGCATGTATTAAGCATTAAAGAATTGTGACAGAAAGAATAATTTATATAAAAACTAAAAATTTGGAGCTAATTTTATTTCTACTTTCAACGATAAAAAAAATATTAAACAGAAAAAATCTACTTTTTTTGCAGCAAGTAAATTGAAACTTTAATGCATTTCTCTCAAGATGACATTTTTAAAGACGGTGACGTCGATTACTGGAAAATCATTAAACCGATATACTTGAAATTTAGTTTGCTTCATTGACACATTATAAATATAGTTCCCAATCGAAGGACTCCTTTTCTTTTGTATTTCTGCATTTCAGATAAACTATTCGGAATTCTGGTTACAGGACTTCATGTTTTTCCCGAAAGCATCATGTCACTTTAATGATTTTTTTTATTTTTGTAACAATGTTTTATTAGCTGTATTATATAGGTAACTTAATTGCTATTATATGGATAGAAATTATTGTCACCTAACACAGTAGCTAATTTTTTTTGTTGCAATAAATTACACTGTCACACAAAAAAAATTGATGTTCTGAGTTTTTGATCAGATTATTTCTATTTTATGTGTTTGGGGTCAAAGAAGCCGAATGTGAAGTCCATTTAACCCCATCATGTCAGGGTTTTGAGATCATAAAAAAACCCAGAATTTGACCCCAAAATTTTGAAATAAAGAAAAATTCTGATCTTTATGTCTTACAATGACTTCTTTATGTTTTTGGGGTAGCTAAAGCCGAATCTGAAGACTTTTTACCCCAGCATGTTAGAGTTTTGACAAAACTTTGAAAAAACCCCAAAATTTTGAAATTCTCATTTCTAAGTCTTACCATGACTACTTTCGGGCATCACAGTACCTTTAAAAAAAAATAAAAAAAAAAGGTGAAATGGGGAATTTTTATCCTCAAAAAAGGGACAAAAAGGGGACAAAAATTTATTTGTTTATACAACTGGCGTATATAATTAAAATTTTTTATCGTATAGATTCTATAAAATTTTTTAAAAATGATTCGATTTCAATCAGGGTTGCCACAAAAATTAAATTTTGTTATTCCCTGATTTCCAGACAAAATCGATTATTTAAATACAAAAGTAATTAATTTAATGAATAATTGAATATAAAAAAAATTAGAATTAATTAAAATTTAATTCTTATAAAGAATTCTATCAACAAATTTTTAAATAATTGAATTATTTTGACGAATTCAAATTAAATTTTTATAAGAATAATTACATTTTTTGAGGTATTCGATTAAAATTGTACTAAAAATAATTGAAATTCTGCAATGAGTTTTTTTATTTTTGAAAATAATTGAATTATAGTTATAGCCAATAAATTTATTTAAAAATTGGGAAATAATAGAATTCCTGTGAAATATTTATTATTTATGAAAATAAACTTAAACGTTTGCGTAGAATTAAAAAAATTTTTTTTTTTAAATAATCGAATTCTTTTGACGAATTTTAATACAACTTTTTAGAATAATTGCATTTTTCGACGAATTCGATTCAAATTGTATTAAAAATAATTGTAATTCTGCAATGAGTTTAAAAAAATTTGTCTTTTTCTAAAAAATTTATGCAAATTCTATTTCTAATAATTAAATACTTGTGAAATTTTCATTATTTTAGAAAATAATGAAAATAATGGAATATTCGTGTAAAACATTGTCAAAATTGTTTTTAAATAATTGAATTATTTTGGGAAATTTTATTAAAATAATTATTGAAAAAAGAAAAATTTCTGAAAATAATTGAAATTTTGCAATGAATTTTATTAACATTTTTGGAAATAATTGAATTTGATTATTTTTGAAAAGAATTGAATTTTTGTGATAAATATTGTTACTTATAAAAATAATTGACTTTTTGAGGATGATTTTATTATTTATGAAAATAATTAAATTCCTGATAAAATTTTTCAAATATTTTAAAAGTAGGTAATTGAATTACTGCGAAAAATTTTAAGGCAAATTTAAAAAATTTGATTTTTTTTTAAATTTATGCAAATTCTATTTTAAATAATTGAATTCCTGTCAAATTTATATTTTATTGAAAAGTAATTGATAATGTTCTTGTAAAATATTATTTTGTAAAATATTATCAAAATTTTTGTTGATGAATAATTAAATTTTTTGGGGAAATTTATGGCATTTAGAAAATTTTTTTGAAAATAATTGAATTTTGGAGATGAATTTTATTTTTTATAAAAATAATTAAAATTTTGATAAGAATTTTATGAAAATATTTTTAAAAAATTGAATTTCGGAGAAGAATTTTATTATTTATAGATAAAGATAATTGAATTTTCGCCAAGATGTTTATTAGCATTTTTGAAGATAATTGAATTTTTGCCAAGAATTTCATTAATATTTTTGAAAATAATTGAATTTTTGCCAAGATTTTTATTAGTTTTGAAGATAATTGAATTTTTGCAATTATTTGAAAGTTCTCCAAAATTTAAGTTTTTTTTTAGTGTTTTTAACTAAAATTCCTCTATGAATTCATTATTTTTAAATTTTAATATATTAATTAAAAAAATATTTAAAAAATTAACTAATTTCAGAAAAATTTAAGTTTTTTAAAATTTCTAATTAAATTCATTCAAAATTGAAATTTTTACATCATTCAAATTGAAACTTTTTGAAGTTCATCTGTTTATGAAGATTGTAAACGCAACTCTTTCAAAATTCAATTTATTAATGATGAATTATTTAAGTAAAATTATTCATTAAATAATTTTAGTTCTTCAAAAATTAACTTATTTAAAAAAGAAATTATTGTCAGAAATGGAAAAAGTTCAAGGTTTTTTATCAGAATTTTTTTTTCTAGAAAAACTATTAATAACTGTTCCAGTCGTTGGCACTGTCTTGAAAAGTTGGCACCCCCTTTTTTTCTTTAAATAACAAAAAATATTAAGGAATATACTTGATTTTTTAAAAAATGCTCCAAATTTTAATAATCATATCCAAAACATAATAGTTTTTAGTTATTTTATGCTTATTTTAAAACCTTGACGTGATGGGGTTAATTCGGCTTTACTGGCACCAAGAACATAAAACAGTCATGGTAAGACTTAGAGATAAGAACTTTACTTAATTTAAAAATTGTTGGGTCAAATTTTGGATTTTTTGAGGTTATCCCAAAACCCTGATGTGATAGGGTTAAATTGACTTCAGATTCGGCTTCAGCAACCCCAAAAACATAATAAAGACATGGTCTCATCAAAAGCTCAGAACATTAATTTTTTTTTTGTGTGCCATTGTTATCAGTTGCCAAAACTATAAAAATTAAGCTATACTCGCATATAATAGTAAACTTATTCTTCATTAGATCATATCGAACCCTTTTATAATAATTAAACAGAAAGAGTAAATAAAATACAATAATTTTTTTCCATTTTCGAAACTTACTATGAACCTTCTTCTGGATAAACCTGAGTTTGCAGGCGGTACGATAAGAAGCAAAGCGTATGCTGTCAAAATTTTGTTGTCGTATCTCCTGCAACAGTTGCAGTCGACTTGCTTCACCGCTGCTGTTGCTGCCGGAAGAGCCAATAGCCCCGTCTTCAGCCATTTCTAGAGAAACACAATAAAAATCATTTTATTATCGCATGCAATAAAACTCAACTCGTTTTATATATAAAATGCCTTTTGGAATGTTAACATTTAACATGTTGTGCTTATATATATATATATATATATATATATATATTTCTATATATACATAAAGAAGATGTAATCTTTATAGTAGCACTGCGGGAAAATGGAAAAACTTTGTTGAAGCTTTTCCCAAGCTGGTTGAATATTCACGAAAACCCTGAGTCGTTCGTTATACAGCGGAAAATGTGGCTTCTTCCACCTACCACAAGAAAATGCAAGAAATCAATATCTACATGGTGGAAGTTAGCCCGGCCAGATATTATAGCAAAAGGGGAACCATTTCATTTAGTTTTCAGAAGATTTTAGAAAATCGTTTTAGAAGAATTTTCGAAACGTTTATTTTCTGATTATGCTATTGAAAAACAGTTGATATTCTTGTACGGTAATATTACCGAAAACCATCCTATGCGAGTTTTTCTACTTTTCCATATTATCCAAAACTAAAATTTTTTATAAATTTCTTTATTTTAATTATTATAATTATAATTATATTTTATTAACTACTTAGGTATTTTATTTATTTATTTATTACAAATTTAACGGGTTATACCCTTAATTTTAATAAATTATTTTATTTGTAATTATTACAATTTTATTATAATACTAAATTAGTGCTTAACGTTCTAGATGATTTTATTCAAATTGTATAGAAAATTAATAATACGAATACATTCGACAAGTGGTTTTTAATAAAAAGCTCCAACGTTTCGGAATCAAAATTATTTCCTCATCAGGGAATCTATGAAAAATAATATAGTCAATATGAGGAAATAAAAATTTATAATATATACAAAAAAAAATTAATAAATTAAATAATAAATTAAAAACAATAAAATTTATAAAGTTTATAATATAAATAATAAAGATCTTAAACTTTTTTGTTTGGCCTAATGGCTTTAGCCTATTTGGCTTTAGCCATTAGGCCAAACAAAAAAGTTTAAGATCTTTATTATTTAAATTATATGGCTTTCTACAAAACTTTATCTCAAAATTTGTAATAATTATCAAAGAATATCATTTATTATAAATAACTTATAACTTATTAGTCATAAGAATGAAAATAATAAAAAAAATAAATAATTTGCAAATAGCCAATTACAAAAAATTGTAAATAATTAAAAATTATAAATGAATAAGAAATATAATGTATAACTTTTAAATTATATAAAATAAAAAATATACTAGAATAGTGCATAACATTATTTTAAAAAATTTATATTGGGCTTAATACAGTTTTTGAGCTTCGTACCCGATAATTAATTTTAAAAAAGTTGCAAAAAGTAGCTTAAAGATAGAAAAAAAGTAATAAAAAATTAGCTATCGAAAAATTAAACTTGAAGACTCAATTTTTTTATAATTTCTTAATTACGCATTCAAAAATAGTATAATTTTTTAAAAATAAATATTTAAATACGTATTTATTTTTTCTAGAGGTCTTATACCTAGACACACTCCCCTATAAATTTTGATTTTTAAGGAAAAAAACAGTCTTAACTTACTTAAAGGTTTTTTTGGGGTCACTGATTACGAATTAGAAGTCAGATTTTAAAAAGTCAAAATGGCGGATCCAATATGGCGGACGAAAAATATTAAAAATCTATAACGGTTTTGCTTCAGTTTAAATTGCGTATAAAAATCATATAAAATATGGTCTTAAGGGTTTTTTTTTGTTAAAATAGGTCTTAAATCGACTAATCGCTTTAGTCGATTAAAATTAAAAATAAAAAAAAAAATTAAAAAATACAAAAAAAGTCGAAAAATACGTTTATTTAATTCAGTGTTGTAAAAAAAATTTCATTTTGTATTTCCCTGACACTTCACTGATTTCTAAATTCAATTAGGTACAAAACTCGAATAATTTTGATAAATAAATATTTAAATACTTATAACTTCTGAAATTGATTAATTTCTAAAAATTACAAGTATAACCCTTCCAAAATGCAATTATTTTCTACAATTTTGAACTAAACTTCATCTCTAAATCAATTATTATATCTATATATTAATTTTTAATAATTTTCCGAAAGTTCTTCGAGAATTTAATTATTTTAATACAAAAATTCAATTTTTTTGTAATAATTAAAAGTGTCCACTTCACTTTTTAAAATATTAAGGTAGAATATTTTCAAAAATTTTAATAAAAAAATTCTTAAAATTAATTTTTTAAAAGTATTTTCCCAAATAATTTTTGAAAGACAATATTTTTACAATTACAAATGACATACAATTGAAAAATGTCCAAAAAATTAAATTTAGTAAAATCTTTGAAAAATAATTTAAATTTGATAAAATCATTTCAAAATAATTGAGTTTTTAAAAAATATAAAAAAAAATAATCAAATTTTTGAAGAATTTTAATTAAAAATGATTTGTCCGAAATTTTAATAAGTTTATAAAAGTAAATTTAAATAATTTTAATTTACATTGTTCGAAGGTAATTAAATCTTAAAAAATTATGATAAAACAATTTGAAGAATTAGGTTCTTATAAAAAGTGTAATGTAACTTTTCGAAAATAATTGAATTTCTAAAAGGAAATTTTTGTATACTTTAAACAAAACTTAATAATTTTTGAAGAATTTTATATTGAAAATAATTGAATTTTAAAAAATTAGAATGAAAAAATTCTGAGAATTAGTTTATTCATAAATATTTTAATATTATTTTTATAATTTAATTTTCATTAATTTTCATTTTTATTAAATTTACACTCGAAGATTTTTCATTAAAATTTTTGAGAATTCAATTATTTCCTAAATTTTCAATTAAAATTTTTTAAAAGTTATTTTTTTTCAAAAATTGTGATAAAATACGTGAACAAAATGATTTATTTTCAATTAAATTTTACAAAATTTCAATTATTCAAAATCTTTTCAATTGTATAATTACCTTCTGGTTTGTTTACATTTCACAACTTGGACATACCCTTAATAAATTTTTTTAAATAATTGAATTCTTTCAAAGAATTTTATTAAAATTTTTAAAAATATTTGCATTTTTTGCGAAGAATTTTATAAATATTTTTTTTTAAATTATTCAATTCTTTTGGGAAATTTTTTATTAAAATATTGAAAATTCATTGAATTACGAAAAATTTGTGAAAATAATTAAATCGTTTTAATGAATTTTATTAAAATTTGTTGAATTTTTTCCAATAACTTTATTAAAATTTTTTTAAATAATTTTTTTTGTTTCAACTGTTAACAAATTTAAAGTAGTGTAAATTCTCAAATATGGAAAAAAGAGTTGCTTTTAGTGTAACAAATAAAAAATTGTATCCAAATAGTAGCAAATGGTGAAAAAATTAGTAAATAGTAGGTTTTAGTAGATGAGTGCGAAGCCTGCGAGAGTCTATAATATTAGATTTTCAAAATTCAAAATCGCGGATCCAATATGGCAGGTTTTTTTCCTACTTCTTACTCGTAGATTTTGAAGGTCACGAAATTAAGAAATTTGTCATCAGATGCTTAAAATTTATGAAAGTAGATCAAATATGACAATAAAATTGTAAATAAATGAAATAAGTGAAATAAATAAAATAAATAAAATAAACAAAATAAATAAAAATAAAAGAGTGGTTGTTACTTGGAGTGAAATTACGAAATTTAAATGACATATTAATACCTCCCTTTACAAATGGCATATTTACAATCAATTTTTCATGATGTCTAAAAGTACAAAATGCACCGAGATCTGAAATCCTCAATGATGGTCTTTATATATGTATGTATATATCTTTCAAATGTCTAGAGAGAGAGAGAGAGAGAGAGAGAGAAACGTCAAAACTTTGGTAATAATTGCGAGTCACGTTATATAGTTACTCGAAAGTTATTCCATTTACTACCTGTGAATTGCCAGTAAATTCTACTTGGGCTTAATTTACTACAAGCATCCTTCTCTCCTCCTTCTTCTTCTCTCATTCTGACAGGTGCAGAATGCTGATTAACTATAATTCCGATTTCTAAACACGCGTTTGGCAAAATTAAAAAGATTCTCCTTTTTTTATTAAAAAAGTTTCTACAACTTTTTCGCAATTTTCAAAAAAGTTTTCTTTCACTAAATTAATAATGCTAATGAGGCATCAGTTCACCGGTGCGTGTCGTTTCTGTGCGTACATTCCTTTGCGATAATTTAAAAGCTTTGGAATAAATTTTAAGTATTAAAAGAAGGGTGTTATTTTAAAATTTTTAGTCATCAAACTTTAAATCATTTTTCTGAAAGTTATTTTTCTTATTTCTGTTTTGATTTTATAGCAATATTATGATATATCGTCTATAATAGTGTGTGTGCCATTTATTCTGAAAAGCATCGCGAACAGGAAATTCGAAAATGGGGAGGGAAAACTGTGCCCTCTGTAATTTCATGACATATGCAACATCAAAGCTGAGACTTTGAATTCACTTTTAGCTTTGAATCTCGAGAGAGCAATGCGAAAGTTTACGTGATAGGTGTAGAACTTTTAAGTTAAGTGTACATACATATATATGTTTACTCTTTTACAAAAAAAATTGCGTTTACCCTTGTTTCAAACATTCAGTAAATTAAAATAACGTAAAATTTAAAAAATATAACAAACTTAAAATTAAGTCTAAAATTTATTTATTTATTAAATAAATTTATTATAAAGCGAAAATAGTGCCAAAAGTGACCATCAGAAAAAAAAATATTTTTTTATTACTAAACTAATAATTGGGGGAAAAAAATGTATTTTCTCTTGTAAATAATATTACTCTTGATATTGATTTTCTTTCCTTATTCTTATAAATAATGAGATGAAAGATTATTAAGTTTAAGATTATTGAGCTTAAAGTAAGAGGGTGGGAGGGAGAAAAAGAAATGAGAGAATCATTAGACTGTAAAAGAGTCAACTTGAATGGTTCACTTTACCAGCAATTAAAATTCAAAGCAAAGAAAAAG